TGTGTGTGTGTGTGTGTGTGTGTGTGTGTGTGTGTGTGTGTGTGTGTGTGTGTGTGTGTGTGTGTGTGTGTGTGTGTGTGTGTGTGTGTGTATGTGTATTTCTGACCCCTTTTAGCCTCCACTTTCACTGCCGGGTCAGATTGACCCGAATACCATCTCTGTGATATATATTTTACTTGTTTATTCCACTAATTAAGGTAAGGAGAAGAAGTTTCATACAAAAAGAATACTTGAAAGTATTTTTCGTACATTTTCAAACTTTCAAACGGGTCAATTTGACCCTGAATGTAACAGGAGGGTAAACTTTAAGTATTTTTTTATTATCGAATTATGTCTTCTGATTTTTCTCCTGGGCATATTTGGTGCTGGAATAGGCTTTCAAATGTCCATTCTATATTCTTTGCAAGGGCTGGACTTCAGTTCAAAGTGAAATGTGATAAGGTGTTCTGACCTCAAACTTTCAAAACAAGGTAGGACACTAACCAGACAATGACATTGGATCAGCTGTGACCCAAAGAAAAGGACAAAGACCCCTTTAGAAGGATTTCTTAGGTCACAAGATGGACAAAACAAGGTCAAATCTAGGACATGAACACCACGGAAGCTATAAACGTGGCACTGGTGATTACAATTGCATACAGATACAGACTAATATAGATGGCACTCAATTCAATTTCAACAAACACACTCTGGCTTTGAGAAAAGGGACCACGCCAAATGACAAACAGAAGTGTGTGAGTGAGGAGAGATTATGTTCTATAAGCTGTCTTCAGTCAGTGTTTGCTATCACTCCATACCATTTACTGTGCAGGCCTGAGCTGAGGCTGCAGATCAAACAAAGGAGGAAGAAGCAAACTCTTGGATCACAAGAAGCTGCTTTTAAAAACACCTACATTCTTATATCAACACATTTAGAAGTGTCTCAGTGGGGATCAACAGTGATACTGACAGATAAAGTAAAAAGCATATGCTGCTTCTGGACATTTTTAGATAAGCACAACCCAACTTGTGTTCTAAAAGTGTTTGAATAAGCCATGCAGTATAAGTCAGTGTTTCCAGCAGTCAGTAAAGGTTTGCTTGTCTTACCTCAGGTGCTTTAAGCTGCTCCTGAGACTCTCCCTCTTTATCTGACATCTTGTTTTGAATGTCAGCAGTTGTCCTCACATCCCTCTAAATCAGCCAACAAACAAAGACTTGTGTTAGAGTTAACAACATGTTCAGAGGACGGAGAAGTACTCAGTCCTTGTACTTACAGTAAGTGAAAGTAGAGCTACCAGATTGTAGGAATACTTGGTTATGAGTAAAAGTCCTTTATTCAAAATGTTACTCAAGTACAATTATAAAATTATTAGCAACAAAATATACTTAAAGTGTTTATCAAAGCTGGTGAAGGTGCAGCTAACTTTATTTACTTTGTAAGCTGCAGGATAGCTTGTAAACGTTACTTCAGTGGGTAACTAAAGTCATTTTTAAAATGTGGTTTATATTTCACATCATGTAGTGGAGTAAAAGTACACTATTTACCTTGTTACCTGTAATTTTAGTGGGGTACAAGTACAGCAGTGGCAGACAATTTAATTACTCAATTAAAAAAAACCTCAAGTCCCTCAAAATTGTACTTAACTACAGTACTGTTGAGTAAAGGTACTTATTTACTTTACACCACTGGCATGAACACATCATATGACCCCCCCTCTCACCTGGCAGTAGCCGGTGAGCTGCTCCGCCAGGCTGTGGATGTGCAGCATGTACTGGTGCAGTCTCCGCTGGTGCTGCAGAGCAGAGAGCTGGGCCTCGGTCTGCAGAGCTGTCACCTGGGCCAGCAGGCTCTGCTCCCTGCGGTTCCACCTGAGCCTCTGCATCCGGGTTTCATGCTCCAAAGTGGCGCTTCTTTCCTCCAGCGCCTCGGTGACGGTGCGCAGCGCCTCCACACAGCAGTGCTGCCCGGAGCTCATGTCCTCACCGGAGAGCCGCAGCCCGCATCCTCTCTGACAAACACCTCTACCCGCCTGCAGCTCTGTTTGCGACTCCATCAGGCCTCGGTTTAAAACTTGACAGGTTGGCTCCTTCTCCGCGCGAGCAGTCGGGCAGTCAGCGAGCATAGTTTGCGCAATGCGCGGATAACTTTCCTGGGCAGTACAATGAGTTAGGAGAAAGTTATTTAACAAGTCTGAACACATGAGAGCGTGACAGCACTAAAAAGTTTGACCGGTCTGCGCAGCTCACGCGGGGCTGGGGGCTGCGCCACTCCTGACGCGACATCAGATGAGATGTGAAGTCTGACTGAGGAGAAAACTTCAGCCTGCTGACTCACTTGTGCACTCTGCTCCGGGTCAATGCAATTTTCCTGCATTTCACACACCCAATTTGATATATCTGACTTTATTTTCACGCCTTAAGTAAAAACATCTTTAAAATCTGGTCTTATTGTGAAGTATTATTTAGTTTTGTGCGGTTTTAAATTGTGAGCAGCTGCTGTGCACTTGATGTGTGTTATAGATCCTCACCAGCAGAGGTCACTCTTTCTTTCACATTCTGTCAAATAGTTAGTTCTTGGAAACATGATGTCAAAACTGGATGGAAAAGAGTTATTTAACAGCCCACATCCTGATTGTCTATGGGGTTTTATTGTGCATCACATTAACCCTATATTAAAAGAGTCTACCTCTGGACCAGCAGTGATGACATGTCAGTGAAACGTGTCTCAAGGGGGAGATGGTCCCTCAGTGGTTAAACCCTGGCTTGTAACACAATATCTGCATGTCGACTTTCACTAATAAAGCCTTGAGTCCGGGCCAGTGTTACTTACTGCCTGACACAGCATGACATATTGCAGACATCTCAGAGAAGGGATCACGTTTCAGGTCTCCCAGCGCAGCAGTCTGGTTCTAGTCTGTCGTGCACCACTTTAAAGTATGTTTTGTGTTGTCTGAGCTGTCAGAGAACAGGTGTAGATTTACAAAGACAATAGCAGAATCTGTCCTGGGACTGCACACCTGTCTGCAAAAACACATGCACAAGGAGGTCAGAGGAGTGTATTTTTCCTCCTGTCAATCACCATTAATGAAATAGTAGCTATTGTATTACTCTAAAAAGTGATTTTAACATATTCAATTAGTGTTATTATATGAACTATTTCTCAGCAAATAGCTATATTTCCAGTCTGGACATTGTATGGAGGAGCAGTCAGGATCACAGCAGTCAGGGATATTGTTAGTGTGTTTTTGGGGAAAGTGTTACACAGCCACCTGGGATCAGACCTATCACACAGGCCATATGCTTGGACTGATAAGCCACTGAAAGAAAAGTTATCTCCTTCTTTTGTTCTCTCTCTGAGCTGATTTCAGTGAATAACCGTTACGACCCCCTGATTGAAGGGGAGAGATTTCCAAAAGCTCAATAAGAATCCAAAGTCTGATTCATTTGGTCTGCCCTAATCCATGAAGAGAGCTGATTTCAATCTACTTTTCATCTGCTGGATACCTGATAGGAGACAAAACTGAAACAGCTGTTGCATGCCTGAAAAACTAGACATTGACAGAGATGGCCTTATCTGTATTAGAGGACAGATTGAAAAGCTATCGCTGATATATCTGGTGCTGGTAAAGAGATTTCTCCTGGAGACAAACTTGGTTTAACAAATAAAAAGGTATAAAATCCACCCATAAATACAGCTCTTTATAGAAATACTTGCTTTGATAATAGAATATATCTAATAAATAATAAATGACATTCCAGTTTGTCTTATTTGATGTGTGAGAGCTGCAACACTGCTATAAATATTTCAAATATAACAAGTTTAAAGTTACCATTTTGTGTGAAATATTTTAATCCCAAAGCTGCAAGGACACAGCAGCAGGTGTTGTTTTTCTTTCAAACAAAATTCCTTTTTGTTTAAATGTGTCGGTACATCAAAGAGCAGAGGGAAATCACCAGAGAGTACCAGTTGTCTGACTCAAGTGGAGGATCTGTCTGGATTTGATAGCACTTCTTACAACCTTTGACACATTTGCTTTGTATGTGTGAAATTGTGGAAATGCCAAACAGAAAACATTCTCCTGGGGTGTCGGCTTTGCTTTGGCTTTCATAGATGGACTTCCATTTTTACAATAACATCTGTATTTTAGGTTTGATTCATAACGTATTCACTAGTAAACTCAGGCTGACTTACTGTTAACTTTTAAACTGGGAATCTTCACTTCTCCTTTTCTCTTTAAATGGTATGCAGCTACAGCTTTAATAGTGCAATACAGTAATGGCTCAAATCCACAATCCTTAATCAGTGGATGAATTAATTGTACATTACAGAAATGCAACAAAAGTGCATTTATTGCTTGTATAATACTTAAACAATTCAGAATTTATCCTTAGGGTTTATTTTGGTAATATACTCTATTTACATTATGCATATTCCTACTTGAATTGAGAGTCAAAGTAATATTAGAGATCTCTCTACCCTTGATTAATGACACCAAAATTGTCGTAGACTGATCTTCAAATAATACAAACTCAAGTGCTTATAAGTTGTTTCCATATTATGTGACGTTGTACTTCTACAGTTTAAAGGGAAATATTGTACTTTTTTCCACTACATTAATCCAACACTTAATAGTATAGGTTGTTTTTCAGATCAACGTTTTTACATACATTTACATATATATATATATATATTTATGAGGAATACAGTTAAGAATTGCTTCATTGGTATTTATTTAAGACTTTTTAAAAGGGAAAAAGTGAAGGTTCCCTAGTTCCTCCTTTGTAAGGAACTGTTCTGTGTAACAATACTTCTAAATATGATACTTCATTATGTTTTCATATGTAATTTGACCTCAATTTTGTAAATGTAATTGAGTATTTTCAAGTTGTAGCACTGTTACTTCATTGACCATGGACCGTAAACCTGACTCACACCAATACTCAGACAGAAGTTCTCTGAGCTGCACACACACACTAACAGTCAGAAAGGTTAGTGCAAAACAAGATAACACATGAGAGCATTTTAATGGTTAACTACACTTTTATTGTTCCTTTTCCAGCCAATGAGAGGTTCCAGTTTCATCCCTCACAAGTGCCATTCAAATCCAACGAAGCACTGAACTTCCAGCTAACAGCCAAACATGCCGCCACGGATGCTATCAAACCGCCTCCATCGTGTGTGAGTCTGCAGGACCATTTCTGAACTTGAATGAGTGAGATTCCTTTAGTCAGTTTAAGACTTTCTCCATAAAAGATCCTCTCCCAGAGACATCATATGAGATGACTGGCTTAATGAAGCTTAACAATACAGATTTAGGCTCTACACGGTCTCTGACGTAAAGGGATGTCACTCGGGAATGGAATGTATTTCACATGAAGCTGAGAGGTTGACAAGTTGCTATGATGACGATTTGTTGCAAAGTAATGTACCGCTTCGTCTCCAATGTCATGCATGTTAGAATGTAGAGCCGCCGCTTCGTCCAAAAGTTCAAGGCATTCATGCATTTGGCAACTCTTTTATGATTTGTCGCATGAAGTAAAACTGGGAAAAGCACTTTGTGGTGGATGTTGATATAGTCACAATGTAGAAGCATGGCCAGCATCAGTCTCACAGGAAATGAATCGGAGGAATTCAAAACGCAGCATTTCTTCTCCTCCATTCGAGTGAAATAAAGTTTTAAACTGTCCAAAAACAGTTTAAAACTGTGTGGGTCATGACATACAAATATAATAATAGTAAACAAAAAAACGACAACAGTTGATAATGTTTATATATCTCTGATCACATGTTAATAAAAAGACAAAAACGGTTCAGTGGAAACAACGTCATGAGATTTTGATGGGCTCCACTGACATGGATGGCTTTGCTTTTCGTCTGCTAATGCCAGATAATGAAAAATTATATATACAAGATTACTGTTAAAGGAGCTAGGCAAGTTGTCTTATTAGAAAAGATAAAGTAGCCACAGATGAATCGTACATTGCACAATTATTGGAGGGCATGAGCGTCGCTACCTTTCACTATAACTGTTAATAGTGACTCTCACACAAAGCCATAAACGAGTGAGATGAAATGAAAATGATTACACAAAATAAAATGCAAACATTCTTTACAAAGCACCCACTGGTACCACTGAGGTCCTAATGATACAGTCAAAACAAAAGTGTTTTTTTAGTCAATTCAACAATGACCCAGATGTTGTGGCAAAGCCTTGATCACTGAACCGTTTTACAAATATACCAGAGGTGGCCGGCAATAAAAATAACCACAGTCTTCTGCTGAAGTTTTTAATTGGACACAGCATGTCTGATATGTTGTTCGGTTCACTTCCTGCTCCTATGGTGTGCTATACTGTATATATATATCACTTTTTTAATATGGATCCATTTCGCTAAACTCCAACACACCTTTGAACACTTTTTTAACTCTTCTTCCATGTAACAATGTTGACATGCACACCGTTTTGACAGTGGTTTTCTATCAATTGAGTTCATGTTATGGTTTGTAAAAGAGCACTGATTGCAGGTCAAACCATTCTTCTTTTTGTTCAAACAACATCCATAGCATATTAGATTATTATTGGATACATTATTTCAGCATGACATAGCTTGTTTCTCTATGTTTGTTAACACAAATCAAGGATGGAAGGATGAGATTTGCTTTGACTGTATCTTTGTAACAAAGGGTGTGCTTCATTTAAAAAAGAAAATGCCACTGAATTGCAAGTAAAGAAAGACGTAAAGACATTTTTATAAACTTATACACTTATCCTTCACAGCTACTTGTTTACCTTATACTATGGAATGCACTGTGGGATAGATTTTCTAAAATATCCTAAATCAAATGAAGCCCACATTTCTGAACCAACAGGGTTTTTATCTACAGCATATAAGAAAGGTTGGCTTCATGATGTAAAAAGACTTAACAGCCAACATAAAGTGTAATGCTCACACTTTCAGTCCATTTTAAAACAAGTCATTGTGAAAGATAAGTGCAGTCGTTTATATAAGGCATATTTAAAAAGTTGACTCTTTTGACACCCCTCCAAAGAGGCTTTTTATGGATACATAAGGGATGTCTTTGTCCAATTCTTCCATTTCTGTGTATATTTCCACAAACATATCCCAGAGGGCAGGAGTTGGAATATAACGTCCTGGGGGTTACGGGGTGGAACCAAAAGATAGTGGAAATAGTCCCAAAGTCCCTATAGGCGTCAACCGTAAAGAGTCTCCTTCACGAAGGACAAAGATGGCGCTACATTCAGAGGTTCAGGCAGAGGAGGGCCAGCAGGAGCAGGGAGAGGAGGCTGAGAGCCGGGGCGGCCAGGACCCCCCCACCTGAGAGACAGAGAGAGAAGAAGAAGGGTCAGATTCGGCTTTTCTGCTTATGTGGCATATACAGAATGTGCAATATTTTAAACATGTTAAAATATATATATTTACAATTTCTAAATGTTACTGGCTCATTCGCTATTAGCCTTTTTATTTATATATTATATACAAGTCCACTCATTTTTTGTCTTTTATCTGCACTGTTCCTATGCTGCAGTAATACTGTACATTCCCCGCTGCAGGATAAATAAAGGATTTCTGATTCTGAAAAAATAACAATCAAATTTGTTGCTGATTGTACGGAAGAAATATCTAAATATATCTATTGCGTGTCTTGCTCTCATCCATCAAACTAAAAACCATGTTTGGTGCCTGAAGTGTGATAGTATACCCCGTCTGTGCTGAGATCACCTAAAATGCCCCTTCATTTGTCAATGCCCTGCATTTGAAATCCCCCACAGATTAAATTCCCGGGTCTGTGAAATCGAGCTGTCAGGTGGGTCTGCACTGAGCGATAAGGGATAAGGAAAAGCACAGGAGGGGTTTCCTCTACTCATCAAGATCAATTACAGGGGCTTAAGGCCTCCTCCATCCAGTCAGCCTACCTGTCAGTCCATCAGCCGGAGAGGGGGCTATCAAGGCTTTAGTCACGGACTGTAACGTTTCCCATCTCAGCCCCCCCCCCCCCCCCAATCTAAAGTCTGAAACCCCGAGTGTCAGCGCTGCGGCGGCCCATGGGAACCCTCTAGCTGTGACAGATGATAACCCAGCGCCAACTTTGAACCTTGGATAATCTCAGTAGCAAATGGCAGGCCAGGAATGAACAGTGTCCCTTCAGCAGTGTAGATTTAAAATGTGATTTGATAACTGAAGGCTTTCTTTATTTATGTTCCACTGATGTGAAACTAAACCCAGGTGAAGACAGAATACAGTGGTATCCTCCGCAAGAGATTACACTCTCACTCAACTAGATTTAATTTCAGTGTTCATTTAACACAACACACAATTGAAAGAAAGGGTCTTTCTTCTAAAGAAGTAAGTTGTTAAGTGTCATCGGCTTTTCTGCCACCTTTTTATTTTTTTACTTTATTAGAACAAAGATGACCATAAACAACAAATCAAACTCAGGCAACTTAGACAACCAAAAAATGCGATGTTCATTTAATTTATGCAATATCAAAATTTGAAGTAACTGACGGATCATTACATATTCTTATTTTGTCTATAAGTGATACGTTAAAAAGACCTTAAAATTCAAGATTTGTATTCTACTTTTTTTATTCAAGCTTATCTTTTTCTGTCTTTGCCAAAAAAAGTTTGATTGGTTGTCAAGCTTGAAGAAGGTGTGGTCTAAGAAGTGAGATATTCAGTTTGGTTTCTGTATACGTGCATTTCATTTGTTTTGGATCAAATGGAACCAACTTAAACACAAACATTATACGACTACCACATTATTCAGCATTGTAAACAGAGAGCAGGAATTAATGGTGGAGTGTGTTTGTTACCTGTGACGTAGATTTGTGACACGGCCCCATCCCCCCCCTCTGTGAACGCCCGGACCTCCACCACCCAGTTCCCCCCTTCGGGCAGGGGGAGGTTGATGTACTCCTTGTTGGTTACGAACAGCGTATTCTCGGTGTGCCCCTGCCGCCTGTACAGCACCTGGGTACAAACATGTCATGTATTAGAAATGAAAGGAGCAGCTTCTGTTTACAGTGTGTATAAAAGTAGTGCTGTACCCACTTTATAACCATTTATCGACGCCTCGTTACCAATCGGTTCCACCATTTCCCAGGCGATATTCAATTTGTCGCCTTTAATCTTTTTCCCAATTATTTTGGGAGCTCGACTTGGAGCTGTTAAGACACCAAAAAAAAAGGAAAAAATGGTTTAATTAAATTGAATGATATTGTTGTCAAACAGAATCTGAATACTTTATTTATCCCATGGAAAACTGTGATTTGTAAATAAATGAATCAAATTAAACAGAATACAAAATGTCCAATAATAAAATATGACATAAGTTAAAGTAAAAAAATTCAGATAAAAGATTAAAACATTTTTTGTATATAAACATACTGTAAGAAGTTAAAGTAAAAATGTGCACATTGTACTGCAATATATAAAATGTATATTACAATATACACACAGGTGTATTTGTATAATAATAGTATATTGTAAGTAGGGACTAAACATGACTCTAAGATACAGTACATGTTTTACATGTCGTTAGCTGCATGTCAATGCTAAACTGCTTTGAAGCACAACATACGGGGTCTCTTGGTGAGGATCTGGAAGGGCTCGCTGGCCGGCCCAAATCCTGCAGAGTTGTACGCCCGGACCTCCACCAGGTAGTAGGAGAAGGGCTTCATGCCCTCCAGCCTGGTGCTGTTCTCATTGGCGCTGACCACCACCCTCTGGGCCCCCCCCTCACTGTCCTCTTCACTCCTCCAGTACTTCACCTGGGACACAGAGGAGCAGAGGTCAGAGGATCCAACATCGGCTCGGTTATTAAGTCTAGCTTTTACGACACGTCTAAGAACTAATTTAAAGCATGAGGAGAAAGATAGATGTCATAAACAGGTAAATAAATAGACTTCAGATCGGTTAAAGTTCATTTATAGAACCGTGCAGAAATTAATGGTTGATAAAAACAGAAAAGGAAAATATCTTTAGGAAAAAATGGCTACTACATGTATAGAGCAACATGTTTCTAGTAATGCATAAAGAAATCAAATAAAAAAGTATTTAGAGATTGAAATCTGTGTTGTGATTGTTACCGGCCATGATGTCTGAAAACAGTAGTTAAAAACCAAATCACAAAGATATTTTCCAAGCTGCAACATGAGCCGAACCGTCTTACCCCTCCACCCTATGTTCTACTGACCTGGTATCCGTCTATATTGCTCTGTGCGAGATGCAGCCAGCGCACGGTGCCTTCTGTGGCAGAGAGAGATTTGCCATCCACAATGACAGGAGCTTCAGATGGAGCTGAGGAGAGACACAGTTTGGTGAAAAGGGTGCAGTAAGAGAACCATCTTTACAGAAAACTCCAAAGTATTTTATATGTATGAACATATTGATACACTAATGGATCCATTAGTTACCCTGACTATAAACTATCCACCAATGCTACATTTCTCTCTCAGTAGTGCTCAGGCATCATTTTAGTAAAAATCACTCTTGGCCAGCGTTCCTACAATGGGCCAGAGACACTTCTCCGAGAATTATTGGCCGGTTATACACTGTGTGTTGGCTGTCCCTGCCAGGATACTGTCACTTTGAAAATAAATTGTCATGCGGGGCCTTGAAACGACAACTCATCACATACTGTCATCGTGTTGCACACAGAAACAAACGCACAAAATCAATTCTGCACCACCAGCACACAGAAACAAATGGTCACACCCCTGGAGGCAGAGCAATGTTGCAGGCTTCGCTATAAAATCACAGACGCTCAAACGGCAAGCGTTCCCAAAGTGGGTTACCATGGCAACGGGGCATCTCTGTAACCTATCATGTCTGGGTTGCCAGTGGTTATCTCAACTGTCTGTCAGTGGAAGTTAATAACTAGGCTAAATGCTTTGCATCCTTAGGCGAATTATCAGCTTTCTGGTTCATGCTACATAGATCATGATAATCCCCCCGCAGGGAGAGGCGGAGAGAGGGGAAGATGGGTTCACTTTCAAGGGGGTATTAAAATTCCTCACAACTATACATGAGAACTTTTATTAAATGAGTCCCACTCCATTGGAAACCCTGCTAGTGGTAAGTAGCTGACACTGACAGATTGTAATAGCAGAGTGTTGGCATACTGGAGAGTTCCTCATCCTGTGTGAAAACAGCACCGGGTATATCAGCGCAGCACATTTTCATTTTGTATGCTTCAGCGGTGAGAGTTGTACATCTCTCCAGTGCTTACCGTCCTGTGCAGAGTAAATGCTGGCTGTTAGGCTGAAGGGTCCCTCTCCTCTGCTGTTGAACGCTTTGACCTTGACTTGAAACTCCGTGGATGCAGGGATGGCGGCGTCTTTGTGGACGTAGTGCTTGGCCTGGGGGTCGGCCAGCGTCACCCGCATCCACTCCGCTCCATCGTGTGGTTTGAAGGCCACAATGTAGCCAAAGTTAGGCCCATAGTAGTACTGCGGCTGTACAGGCTGATGACAGAAACATCCAAAATCGAACCGAAGTTTCCACAATCAAAATGATGCATCATATATTCATGCTAATGCTATATACTAGGTTTAACAGCAAGATACAAAAAAAAGGGGGTGGGGAGGGGGGTTGAGGGATTCTAAACACTATTAATTGTACCGTACATGTAGGTGATCCTTTTACCTTGTTAATCATTATTATTTGTATTTTTTATTCAATGTTTTATTTATGTATCTATTTCTTATCGGTCCTGTTTTGCCTGTCCTTACTCGGTTATATTGTCTTTTCTAGTTGGACACCTGAAATGAAGCATTATATCCATCCCACAGGAATCTGTATCACTGCTGTATGTATGCTATTTTATAACTTTTTTATTTTTTATTTAAAGCATATTGCACTAATAAGATCATGTTCACACTCTTTGAGTAATTTACAAAAAGTTGTGACACTTTTCTGGCTCGTCCCTCTTGATTTGTCCTCATGCCTCATTTTCTTCGATGGCACTCTGCTCTTATTCTCACAGCATATGTTGGGTAAGACATGCCTGCATTAGGCACTGCCGCTAACCTCTAAACACATCTTATCCTCCAGCTGCTCGGGGGTTGAAAAGCAATGAGTAAGCCAAGCAAAAGGCAATTTACCCATGAGAGCTAATTCATCAAAGGCTGCGGCGGGGAAATGATTCTGGTAACACATTGATTTTTTTGTTGGTGGTGATTGTTTTGTATGAGATTAACAACACTTATTTTAGTTTAAGGTAAAATAAAATGCATCAGAGTCATGAGAATGTGTCTATCCATATTCTTTTTTTATTTTTTTAAATCTCCCTTGGGCCTGCATCTCACTGTAATAGCTGTGTTATCCTTCAGTTTTCTATTGTCCAACTATATTTGTTTAATTTAATTATATTTGCTTTGTTTAAGCATGTGTCTTCTTCTTTTGTAAAGGAATTTTACAACTTTGATGCTCTGGAATAAAGGTTATTATCATTCTAAGAAAAGATTCTCCTCACACGTTACTGTGAGAAAATGGCCTCGTGTCTCCTTTCTTTGAGCTTTCTTTGAGCTAACTGTATGTTTTGACACTTTTCCCAGTGGAAAGTCCACACTCACCGTCCACGTGATGGTCAGCTCTCTGTTGGTCCCTCCGCCACCGCCCACATCAGAGGGCGCCACCACAGGAACTACAATGAGACGGCAACAGCAAAAACTCTGAGCCCACATGCTTAGAATCCACACAAACAACGCCAACCCACACAGGCTGTAACCTATCCCTGGCAGCAGTACTGACACATCCTCCCTCTGCAAACACAATATCAATATCTTCACCTGAGCCAAATGCAACACCTTTATGTCAATTTGGGAATCTTGCCACTGAAGGAAACAGAGAGGCAAAGGTTCTCTTGTTTTGCCTCGAGTTTAGTAGCTAACTCTCAAGGTATGGTTATTGTTTTAAGAAAGGTCAGAGTAGGCCTGTGATTTCCATTTTATAATTGAATTTCAGTATACAGTTTCAGCAAAGTGCTCATTTGTAGCGGTTTGTGTGGTGAGTTTGGCAGCCGGCTGCTGCTGTAGGAAGTACAGCTTCATGGGATTTCTGCTGACTCATTTCTGCAGCGATACTTAGCGTAAGTAAACAGTGCTAAAAAGAATAAATAACAGAATGGAAAGCTGGATTGTAGGAGCTCATTTCCATGACCTTTCAAGTAACTCTGAGGCTTCATACTGGATACTCTTATGGATGAATGGTAGCTCAAAGTCAGGACATTATCTTACTTGCTTCCAGGGTTTTCTCTTTATGTGACGGGCTGCTTGGCTCTCCTGTCCCCAAGGTGCTGGTGGCGATCACTCTGAACTCGTACTCAATCCAGGGGATCAGATCCGCCACTGTGGTCATCTCTGTATTCCCTTCTACATCTGCAGGAGCTAGAGAAAAAAAAAACACAGATTTTAATGTACAGTGCCAAATTGTCAGGGTTATAGCACGGTATGTTCAAATAATGTACACCATAGGTTATGCTATCCCTCTATTTAACAACAATGTTCTTAAAACAACAATAAAGTTTCATTTTTGGAGTCAATTCCTATATTTGAGGTCCTTGAGGCATGACTTTAGCCATTTTTAAAGTCACATTTACAACTGTATAGGCCTAAAGTATAACTATGTGGCATGACCCAAATGATTGTAACACCAGTGCCAGCTCAGCATTTAGCTCGCAGTGTTTATTTGACAAAGCAGTGTGCTGGAGTTTCTCACATGTCGTGGCATTCTTCCAGACATCCTTTGAGAAGGAGTCCCTGTACTGGATGGTATATTTGGTGATGGGGTTGTGGTTGTCTGCTCCGCGGCTCCACTGCAACATTACACTCTTGTCAGTTTTGTTCATCACTCGCACCCCACCTGGGGCTCCGGGGGGACCTGAGGTACAGAAAATAATAAGAGACACGTTAAAAGGGTTATTTGATGGATGATGAACAGTGTGGCCGCAAAGATGTGTTGAGTTTAGCGACACTGTCCCTTACCCTTCACAAGTACAAATCCTCTAACAGGATAACTTTGAACTTTTCCCGATAGCAGATAGTGAACATTTAATTAATCACAAAGACAGACAGAAAGAGGGTATAGTTCTACTAACAGAGCTTCATCTTATTCAAGCTCATGGGGAAATTCTTAGCTACGGTACTGAACCGTTTATCAACTTTATACTTCAACACCAGTCTTCAAAAAGCTGACTGCATATGAAACACAGCACATCAAACCCTTACATTCTTCTACTTTAAAAGACATCAGCGAAGAATGATGGATTAAGACATTACATCTTAAAGCCCATTGACATGTACGAACTAAAACTTAAGCACAAGCGTTTGAATCCAGTGTTTCTGTTGGTCCTCCTGCTCTCCTGGATTCTTCCTAAGGAACATAAAAACGGCCTAATAGAAAAGCCAGACTGTATCAAGGTTAGCTTCCCAACCCGCAGCCTCAGACATCAGCCAGGATTTACTTTTTTTTTTTAAAGTCTTGAAACTAAGCTGAGACAAGTAAGGCGATTAGAAATCCAAAGCTTCTGACCCTTCAGCTTCCCCTCGCCTAAGGAGTGAAAGCAAAGACGGTGAAAAATCTCATTGCAAGAAATGAAAAGTACATGCACATTTTAAATGTCCGTACAACAGTCACAAACAACTAGCCTGGCAACATGTTTGAACTGATGAGTGTTTTAAACTTACTGACATACTATTTATCTAATATATCACATTCCAATTACTTGTATAGAGACTATTCTTGCACTATTTCTATTCAATTTTATTTGTATCTACTTGCACTATTTTATTTGTTTTATTGTGTTGCACTGTTGACATAACTACACTGTAGCTATGTACAAATGACAATAAAAGCCTTGAATCTACTGTTTAATAAAGTTCATGGATAGTTTTCATAATCCAGAGACAATTACATTAACCCGGCCACATTTCAACACGGTTTCAGGCAAGACTGTAACATTACCCTAGAATAACACACACACCCGTCATATGAAAACAGCTCTTCTCCCTATCTGAAATCCCTACTAATAACAAGCTACAGGTGCAGAGCTGTGTCTTTAGCTCGGGCGATCTCCTGACGCAGATCTGCTTCCTCATCTGCCGTGATAAATGGCCGTCTTTCATCTCTCCCTGGCTGCGCTCCGGACCGCTGGCATTTGGCACTCCATTAGGAGCGGCCCAGGGCCTGTGTTTTGCTTCTACTCTGGGAAACGTTACAGTCAGCTGCTGTGCTTTCACCTGGCCATCTGTCAACACCTGCTCAGAAAGCAGCAGCGGCGGCAGCACACCCAGCGCACAACAGGGATCACCGGCAACCAGAGCACTGCTAAGAGTTCTTGGGTTGCTCTCTGAAGAGGCCCTTTGTCCACCAACACTAGGCCTGTTTCAGGACCCGAGGGGAGGCTGTAAGGCAAGCCCTCACTCATCAGGAAGTGGAGGCTGAAAACAGAGCCTAATGAATCATCCAGGAGGTGAAATACAGTAGATGACAGACAGAGTGCAGCGGAAGAGGGGCAGTGTTTGTTTTGCACGTGTTGACGTCCGTATGTGGCTGGGAGAGTAAGAAGTGAAATCATCAGCACTCTGTATCAAAACACTGTGATTAAAGAAAGAAATCTATGATGATCTACACACTTAAGTAATCAAATACTCATCACATGGCATTACACAACTGATTTCCACAAACAGGGTAGTTGCTGTTATGCTCACAGCCCTACAAAAAGTGTTACTTTATTCAGTTATAATGAAGACAAGTGGGCGCTGACACGCATTCAAAACCCTTCCTAATGCTCCATTCAATTTAATCAACTCTACAACTATTTCTAAAACCAGAAAAACCCAACCCAATCGTCTTTGCCTGGCTGAGTTCCTGAATTAAAACCTTTTTCTGGCTCTTTCTCTTTTGATTTCCTTCGCATTGGGTCTCAGGGTCGAAAGGTTATCTGGCAATAACAGCTACGGTCTGGTTACTTTGAAGAAATTAACTCATATTCGAACATGCACTGGATAACGTACTCTGTCTACTTTGCCTTTTTTCCAACACGTGGTCTGACAATAAGGAGTTGGGGAAACATTTTAATGAGTAGTGTAGAAATATGTGTCTGATGAAGTGTGGAATGATTTTGTCTTCGGTTCAGTTTAATAAGCTCGAATCAAACCCCTAGGAAACTTGGCTTTAATCGTTTGTATTTCTATAAAACATTATATATTCATTCAAAAGTAACCATCAAATATTACATTTTAATAGCTAGTTATTAGGAGTTTAACAGTCAAAAACCGCTGCTTTATCAGGTCTGAGTTGGCAGAGTTCAATCCGATTTGATGCAGTACCCAAACAATCCAAGAATGATAATAAAATAAAACACAAATTACAGAAATCTCTTATAAAAATTATAAAACAACTGTGAGAACTTTGACCGAGAATATAGTTTAAAAGTGAATCCCCATCTCTCAGAGTAAATTGATAAAATATGTCTTCAGAGATTTTGCATCATTTTATATACAGTGTAACTGCATCATTTATGACTCACCCCTGACAACCAGGTGGGCCGAGGCGGTCATGTTGTCGATGGGGGTCTGGGCAGTGCAGGTGTAGCGTCCAGTGTGCTTCAGATGGACGTTCTTAATCAGCAGCTCACCGTTTGAACTTCCATTCTGCATACAAAAACAAAACAGACAACAGTTCATTGAGGACCTCAGCAAAGCTTTCCCTCTGTGTTCCTGTCGGAGCACAATTGTAATGTGTCAAAAATATGAAAAAGGACATTTCAATCACTAAGGTAATCCTTCAAGACAAAACGTGAGCATCCAATTAGGTGAACTGAACATGGGCTTGAAGCTAAAGGTCTTCACCTGTTTTCCTATGAGGAAATGTCAAGTTCCAGACAGTGTTAGCTCTTATTAGCACTCTCGCTGCAGAAAGGTTAAACCATCACAGAAATCGACTTTAAAATACATGACTGCATTTAACTCTGTTTGAGAGTCAAATTGGCTTTGCAATTGCAACACAAACAGTATCTGTAACTCCTGGACCCCATTTCTACGAGGGGAAAATCCTCCTTGTGTACAAAAATGGAGTATCATCAATCACAATCATAATAGCGTTTGCCCACTTGGCACGCAGAGTGACAAATGAGAAATGCTAACCGCTAACTGATGCTTTGAGCTGCACTTAGAGCCAAAGTGAGTCATGTCAACAATAATGGATGTAAGCGGAAATTGCTATTAAATTGATATAAAATGCACTATTCCACTCAGGACAGGGATGAGAAATGACTTTTGGAATCATACACATTTAAAGCAGGCTGTACTTTTCCATTTCAGGTATTCCAATAAAAATACTACGGACATTGACACAACTTGAAATATGACTCCAGGCTGGAGCTGAGCTGAGCGGTTTGGGTAGAGTTGGCGCTAAACTTCGATTATTTATGTAAACGTTTCTTTAAAATACTTGAGGACCAGCATCATGTCTCACCAGGGTGCGTTCATAATGTTGGCTTTCCTTGTGTAGGTCAATCACCCGGCCATCCAGGGACCAGATGAAGGTGATGTCAAGAGTGGTGTCATGTGACGCTGCACACTGCATCGCGATGGTCTCACCCACTTTGACGTCAGCATTGGCCGGTGCCAACGTGATCTTAGTGGAATCTGGGGAGGAACGCAAGGGGATGAGAGTATCAGTGATGATGAAAAATAGATCAATCCAGGAGTAGAAACTTCATTAAGGTACGAAATGGAAATGTGATTTAATAGATTAAAACAAATAACAGGTGACTTACTTAGGAATCCAAACAGTCAAATACTGAAGTAGACACATCTGTGGTACAGTACTCTGATGATGTGTAAATTAGTGTTAAATAACTAGAACTGTTCAATGTGCACAAATGTCCAGAAGAGGGCAGAAAAGAGCTATAAATAGAGGTGTGACGTCTGGGATTTCATGTCTAAAGAAAAAATAGCTCATAGCAATTTGATTATTTGCTATTCAATAAAACTGTCTCAAAAAAGGTTCATAATTCAAACAATTTTTCTCATTTCTCATTGAACAGTGTAAGGTCACATCTACTCTAATCCAAAGCAATCCCCTCACGCCTCTGTCCTTGGGGAGCGACTGAATATCCAGCCTGTATACTGTCACTCTGCTCAGAGGGACATAATTCAACAGTAGACATTTGGAGGTCAGGGCTGTTTGCTTGGACCCAGAGTGACAGGAATGATTGCCAGCAAAGGTCAAAGCATCACTGGAAACAAGAAGTCTAAAGAGAGTTATTAATTTGGCATGTCTTCATTACCTGTGACCAACAGATCCCCCGTGCTGTTGGCCTTGCCCCGGTCGTTCTCGGCGAAGCAGGTGTAGCGTCCTTTATCTGCCCGCGTCACGTTGAGGATCTCCAGGCTCCCATCCTCCAAGATGAACACCCTGAGAAGGAAAAATAATTCATTCTTCACACACTGTTGAGAAAGAGCTGTAATATAAAATATTCAGCACGATATGGAGGTCAAAAGTCCAGAGTATGTTTTCCTATGCATGATGAAAATTGATGAAAGTAGTAGGCAGTTCCCTAATGGGATGTAGGGCTTTTCAAGAAACAGAATGTGAACTTGAAACTATTCAGCAACATTAAATTGAGCTAACAGCAAGGCAATATTGTTTGATTTTCTTCTGCATATTTCATATTCATGCATGAAAAATAGCATGGTGCCTGCTGCCCCAGCACTACTCCACACAGACAGTCACCATAGAGATTAATAATAAGGCATTAGCTGCATAGTCATTTTGCTGCACCTCCTCTATGTGAGTTACTGTGGTGCATGGGGGGGGGTGTAGGGTGGGGGAAAGGTTTTGGGGTTTTAGAGCTCACAGATTAGGCTTGTTTTTTTCAGTGAGGAGCACAAGACAGGGTTTACACATCCGGTCTGTCCATGCTGATGAGCTTGAGAATGAGCTTAATGTCAGCCGCTGACAGACAGCAGAGCAGTGCTCAGCCGGCGCTGACAAACAACAGCTCTAAAGACTTTACTGGCACAAAGTAAATTTAGGATATCTAGAGCTGATTTAGATCCCTAATATCCCCTTACTGTTTTCCAGAGCGGATCCCCTCTAGAGTCGAGAGACATTCCTTTCTCAGACACTCGTCCTTGAGGTGATACTGTATGACCCAGATGTGTCTCTCAGTCACAGAAAAAGCATGATGAATATTTGCATTTAAAACTGCAGTACAAAGGAAAACTCTGCCGTGATAAACCACTCTGAATGAATAAACAATATGTACGTATAAAAAGACAAAAGGAAGTATGCTGTTTATTTAGAGAGCGCTCACCTGGTAGAGTTGGAGAGCAGCTCGGTGCCTTTGCTCCAGGAGAAGGTGGGCTTTGGAGCCGCTTTTGGTCGACATTCAATCACCACACGGCCATTTTTAGGTGCCATCAAGTCCTTCAATGGGTTGTGTTTAAATGTGGGAGCACACGCTGAGGAGGGACAGATTGGATTATTCATCACAAACTTAGTAGAATATGCATTAACTGCAGGCATGCATATATTTACAGCCCGTTTTATATTCACTTTAATGTGTAGTGTGCTGCTTTAACTTATTGTGCATGCTACTTTAGACAACAAATTACGTTTTTGGAAAAAATCTCAATACGTGTTTTTTTCAGCCATGTAAAAGTTGTTTTTTTAAGTCTTACTGAGCTACAATTAGTTAGTTTAAACCTTGACATTTCCATCTCTGATGCAGACATTTGTGCCTCGGCTGTAGCCAAAGTGTGACTCACCATACACTCGCAGCTCTGCGTTGGCATATATGATCCCGTGGTGATTTTCTGCAATGCACTGGTACATCCCTGAATTACCAAACGCCAAGCTGCTGAACCTCATGTCTTTCCTGTTGGACTGTGGATCATAACAAGAGAGTGAAGTTAAAATATCATCAGACGACATTTCACCATTTCCAGTTTATTAGTAGCCTACAGTAAGCAAATGATTGAAATCAAACTATTGTTGACATCCACAGACATGGGCGTAGGAAGCATCCTGAATGTGGGGGGGACATTTTTAACGGGGGGTGAAAAAAATATATAGATTTCCTGTATTCTGGTGCATTTTAACAGGTGGTTTGATACTTTTATGTGGCTATACTAGCATGAGGAAAATGATGGGTACATTTTGTAATTTCAGTAGTAAAGAAAGGAAACATATTTGATTATTAATTCAGAGCTGTCTTTGAATGAATAAAAAGCAGTTTAAATGCCCATTTTTTGTACATTTATATACAACAATAAATATTTGTGAGTGCATTGAGAGATATTGTTGTGGAGAGTCATTTATATATAAATCGCAAAATACATTTGTGAATCCTTCTGTGAGCATTTATTAATATTGAGACTGATCTGACTCCATACGGATGTTAAGTTCACCTAGGAATGGTATCATTGACTTAAATGTTCAAATAAATGTTGCTCTTCTGTCTATATTGGTCATATGATGCCCCTTGACTGAAATGTTTCCTGTTCAATATCCCCACTGATTTCCTTAAAATCCTGGGATGAGAGTCCACATCACAATTTACTCTCAACTGTCATTTCCCTTTCATCACTCACCTCAGCAATGGACCTCTCTCCACTGTCCCTGTATTCTGCCTCTGACTCACTCTCAAGTGCCTAGATGTCAAGAGAGGTGGTGAAGTGATAATTATTTATTGAGCAGTATACTCTTTCACATTGAATCATAACAAGTCATACTGAATGTAAACACAACTGACTCTAAAGTAAGTCCCAGTCTGTGACATTGGACATTTTGAAGACTCAAAGTCCCAAGTAGTAGGTAGAATATTAGCTAGTCTATGTAATGTGCACAGAAAATAAATAGTTAACTGAATACTGGGATGGAAATAGCCTATAAGCACTCAGTAAAACATAAACACACAGAAAAAGCTTCTGAATGATAAGAAGTATAATTAAAACATAATGCACATTACCATTTTGAGAGAGAGTACCTAAGTTAAAGAACTCAGAAAAGAATCTCTTATCGAACTGAGGCTCCAGTAAAACACACTGACTGCGTCTCTACATGGACATCAGTAAGCCGTTTATGAGTATTATCCCGGGTTATGATCATATTGGGGATATGGTGTTTACATGAGCACAGAGAGATCGGGTTATTCAAGTTCCCTGTTTACATGATAAATACTAGTAACCTGGCATTTCGATGCCTTTTCTCATCTAAACTATTCAGTATTTGTATCTCTCTATCATGACATAAAGACGAAACTCCTCTCCAGAAGTGAGACGCCGCCATCACTGTTAACTGCTACCAGCTGATGACTTACTTTCCTCTTCTTTGAAAAAAATGTTCTTATGTCCATGTTGTCTGGGGGAGAAAACATATCAAACCAAGAGATTGTCAGCTTTGATTTTCGCTGTATTAACCATTTCCTGAACATTTGGTGTGTGTGCCTTACCTCCGCTACCGGCATCGCTTCATACAACAGATCTGAGCTGTCCAACTATGACAACACTCCTTGAACATGCGCGCGCTATGTGAGAATCTGCCTTGGTACAAAGTAGCAGTGAAAACATGGCACGGAGTTTCATTGATTTGGGCATTCTCTCAATAAGCAAGTGGAATGGATTTCATTTGATAGTGAAGCACTGACACAGCGCTCTACAAAGTGCGGCGAGTGGATAGACCGATTCACGGACTTTCCGCATAGTAAAAGTGGGGGGGTCTAAACTAATCATTTGAAAAAGTGGGGGGGACTTGTCCCACCCTCATATAATGGCTGCGACGCCCATGTCCACAGATGATGTTCAGGTACTGTAACAATCCATTTATTTGTATGGGAGAGGATTTCATTAATGCATAATGATATCCAGCTGCATATATCAAACAACCACCCCCGCTGCTGTCACTATTACTCTTGGGTATTTTCCAGGCCTGATGACAGTTGTTTCTATGGAGAGCTACACAACCCATGCTGGCAAACACTCAATACCAACAGGTACTTTCTCCTGACATGATGTGAACCCACGGTGCCAGCTTCCTGTCACTGCTGAGCTACTGAGTGTTGCCAAATGAGCTCTGTGTATATTACAGCAATAATGAAATCAACATTTATGTCACACAGTGTTTAAATGAGTTTTAATATTACCGGTTCTCCATTTATCAGCCAACGAATGCTTGGTTCAGGTGTGCCGCTTGCTTTGCAGGACATGGTGTAATCCCTACCGAGGTCTTTCTCTGAGCTGCTGATGTGCTGCACCCACTCAGGAAACGCTGCAAATGAGCAGAGAAACAGTGTTTGAGGAAAATCTGAGAAAACTACAAAGCTGCTAAACAATATGTGATTTGAAACTTAAAGGTCACCTATTGTGCAAAATCCACTTTTTAATGTATTTTATACATAAACATGTGTCCCCTCTGTGGAAAGAGATTCTGAAAGTTTCAGGAAAAAAAGATTCGCTCACTTTTTGTCCTGATCCATTTATATAAAAACCTGTCTGAAAATGAGCTGATCAGATTTTGGCCACTTTATGATGTCATAACGATTTTCTGGCTTGTGTAACCATTAGCCAATCACCAACCAAGGTAACCCCCCCCACCTTATCACCTGAATCTCCTCCTAGAGCACCATTGTGTTCTTTTTAACCAAATATCTCTCAGAGGGGCGTGGGGAGTGGCTCCTTATTTTCATCTAAAGTAACAGACACAGAATCAGCACTCTTGAAACAGGGCGGAAACAGAGGGGATTATGGGATGCTACAATGCATGATCTGTTTGGTAGTGGAACCAAACACTTCAGAGACATGTTTTGTATATATCTGAGACCTATAATATATTGATAAAAAATTGTATAATAGGGGACCTTTAAGAAAAAGAAAAGAAAGGAAAAACATGGGGAAATGTACTGATAGGAAGAGGCTTTTGATGTTACCCCCACACATCAGTGCCCTGTACTCCCTGTCAAATGTTGGAAGAGAAGAAGGAGACATGACGTGCAACACATATCTCACCTTCTACAGACAGACGTGCAGCGTGGTAGTCCTTTCCTCTGGAGTTCACTGCCTCACACTGATAGCTGCCTCCGTCTTCAAACTGCACGTTGTACAGGTGCAGATGAGCCCCCGCCATCCGCACCTCGTGATTGGGTGGCATCTGTCCGTCTAGCTTCTTCCAGCGGATCTCAGGGACGGGGCTGGGAAGGACAGAGAGAGAGAAATAAAAAACAGGGCAGTATACGCTGCAGTAAAAAGAAAATGTACTGTGCATCAAGGGTGAACTAAAATAGTTATTTGAGGGATTGACATAGATGTTACTTTAGATTGTCTTTTATTTAATCGTCCAAAGTCAATATTTACGTATATCTGTATGTCATAATATGCTGCATCGTTTACATTTAGTTATTTTATTCAATTGCATCAACAAAGTATATATATTCCCTATTATTTATTACTGACAAAGCAGAAAAAAACTCTCAAACTTTATCTTAATGTATTTTAATTTTCCTCTGTGATCCAGTTTATGACACTTGAATATGATAAGATAAGACTCACTGGCTGATAACAGATTGTCAGTCCAAACTGAGCACATTTCAAAGAAAGGTAACCAATGATCTGTCACACTTACTTCCCCAAAGCGAAGCACTCCAATGTGATGTTGTGCCTCACCAAAGCAATGGTGTCTGGGAACTTGACTTTGAGGTCAGCCGGGTATTTCCTGATGGGACCTGAGAGGAAAGGCAACAGACCATAAACCATGACTCAGGTGCTCGACACACTTAGTGCTCATTGTAACCATCACAGTGTTTGTTGCAAGATGTTCCTTCAAATCCCCTTTGGTCATTACCTACTGTAAGTGGGTCAAACAAAATATACTTCTGTTTAATCACTGTTTTACTCAGATGTCCTACTGAAGCACACAGAATCCAAAAGCCTTATGTAAAAGGGTTTATTTAAGGCCTTTTTTTAAGATTGTATAATCCCAGCAAATTGCATTGGCACACTTTATCTGGCTTTATCTCTTGCTGCCTCACTCAGAGAATTCACTTTTTAAGAAAACTTTTAAACGTGATTTTGTCTATGCTGTGTCTGTTTAGATTGTGCAGTATATTGAGTGGATCTAGATGGGTTTTTGATATTTTGACATCTCAGACATTGTAGGAGAGGATGAAGAACCAGTTAAATTAATTTAAAGTAAAAGAGCATTTTTGTATTTAGTTGTAATTAAGAGAATGAAATGTATCCTCTGCAATTCTGATTTTATACTTTTCAGCCAACCACTAACATAGCTCAATACTTTATCTTATATAAGGTATTATCCCAGTTCCTAAAATAAGACCATGACACTGCAAAAAACAGATCAAAACTGTGATACTAGTATAAATGTTAATCCACTCAATGTAAAAATGTAGATGATACTTGCTTAGGTATTCAAATGTTGACCCAGTTCATCATTTTCTCCTCTCACTGTCTCTTTTCCCATGGCATAGGTCTACGGCCTTGGGTATTGCTGCTATCTCTCTTAAGGAGGGGCAGCTTGGGCGCATTGTTGTTGCCAGTCTATGACGGAGCACAAGCCGCCATGAGGTAGTTTACTGTTCAGGGACGTAGGTTCCCTGGCGCACATTCTTTTCTATGGACGAGAGCTCTAGTTTGATTCAGGGTCCATAATTGTTTAGTCTCACTGATAAAGAATGTTGATTATTGCACTCCGAACTAGTTAAAACCTCGAGCTACAGAAAGAGTTCTTCAGAATTGGTTTGGCAACCGCTGTGTCAACTCGTGACACACCACCTGTTTTGTCAATTCTCTGGCCGTAACTCCAAATAAACCATCAGTGTTTGCCATCAAAGCTCCAGCTCTCCTCGTGTCTCTCTGAGTCCTGACTCTCCATTGCTACAGAAGTTTCCCCCACAATACTAAACTCTGAGGATTATCTATCATGACAAATGCAATCAGTGTTTCCAATTGTTGGTATGCACAGCATTTCAAAAACCAAAGATGAAAGACAGTGACGCACTCCCTTGCCAAACACATAAAGTCAAATACTGACTTACGTCATACCCAGAAGGCATTTCATCACATGCTTGGGAAAGCCCAAACAAACAGTCTGCTTTAATCCTGACCTTTTAGGTTGCACGAACATTGACGTTTGTGTTCCTCTGATAGTACTTTTAAAAACATATCTGCCATCACGAGTACATGATCATGAAAGTCAATATCAACAGTGGAAATTCCTGGAAGCCCAACAAGGAAAAACATTTAAAGAGTCGTCTTAATGGTACCTCTTACATATGGTCAAGCAAACATAAAGAGCATTAACAAACTAAAGCTCTGAAGCAGTGTGGTTATTATCTTTATGTCTGGAGATGTTAATGTTCCAGTAAATGTTTCATAACACTCTGCCTCAGTCTCAAAGCAGGTTTTCTTCTGAGCTAATTTGTTCCCATAAATCTTATTTAAAGACAACAACAATGGCGTGACCCTATCACATTTAAAACGAGCCCTTTTGTGATTAAACACGGTGCTTCAGCGAGGCCGAGGGAGAACAATCAATACAGTACTTTGCTGCAGCCAGACAGAGACCTATATCTGAGCTTATTTTAAAACTCATCTCTTTGAGAAATACTTATATATTACACACACCTTATTTTGCTGGTAAAAGAGTATAGCCAGGATAGCATTCCCTTAATGTACCTTTCTTATTGATTCATGGCCATTATAGAGACATGTGTTTTAATTCTCTCTGTTGTATTTCATGATTGTATTGAACTTAGGCTTATTTTATACATCAAACAGGTATTGGATTGCATTACTGGAATGAGAGGCATTGAGTGTATTGCATTGCAAATGTTATTATGGCCTAAGTATCACACTGAGATCAATCTTGTACAGGACAATAAAACCCAGATGTAATCACTGGTTTTATAACTGAAGTAATAAAACATCTCAAACAGCTTTAATGTAATCAAAAATCTGAGATAATCAATTGGAAAAACAATGGATAGTAGGAAGTGAGGTACTAACGTTCAGCCAGAGGTACGAGGGGGATGTAGTTGGAGAAAACGCTTTTGGAAATGGACTGGCTGGAGGCGATGCAGGAGTAGTTGCCGCTGTCGGAGGAGTCCACCTTGGAGATATAGAGGTTACCCGTTATCTGGGAGACAAAACGCCTCTTGTCCAGCGGGATGAAGGTGGGGAATTCATTGAGGATCCATCGGAACGACAGCTCGGCTGCACAGAAAGAGACAAAACGGCACCCGTCAATCAAGACTCCAGACACACATGCAAAACCTTTAGAAAGAGCCGAGGGGATTGGATACGAAGCTGGCTCGCTTTGGATAATATGAATACATGCTAAATAAAAATAGCACAATTCTTTAGTGCAGAGGGGGATTTATTATTCCAGCATCTATTGACCTTTCAGATGAAATCTTTTAATTCTTTTAGCTGAGAGGCATAATAGAAGAATACTGAGAACATTGGGCTTGTGGAGGTAATGCTGATGCTGTGGAGAGAGAATTAACAATGCTTTCAGACTGTTGTGTTTGCAATTTGCATAAGCATGAATATGGAACATGTGTGTGCAGTTTTGTGGGTTAAGTAATGGCGATGCTATAAAAACTCTTAAGAAAATGAGGCCACATAGAGACAAGTATAGGAAGGGAAAACAAATGAAAACCCTTGTAATTATATTAGCTTAAACTGGATATGAGACCGATGAAAACATTTGGATTATTTCCTTTTAGATGCATTAGGGAGCAGTAAACCCAGCATGGGGATGACTGCTAACTGAGATAAAAGCTTGAAACTCATAATGAGGCAGAGACAGAGTCAGTGATGTCATTATTTGTGTACCTCAGAGGACATTAAGAAGGGCAATTCAATCCCAAGCTGATAAGGGACAAAATATATTTGGTTCATTTTATATAGTCAGTTCCTCTGTGTCAGGAAATCCCCCATGTGGATACAAAAAAGAGCTCAAAGTAAAGTATGTCTAACGGTTTCTACAGCATTTGTTTTTCATTTAAATATATTGTAAATGTACAATCCTCCTGGAAATGTTTCTCCTGGCTGGAAAGCAACAGCACGAAGGAAGGAGCCCACACAATCAAGCACTGACCGTTATAAATCCACACAGAAGGAACAAGAAATCAAAACAGGGCTACTGTTCTATACGCCCACTCCAATCAATCAGATGCTACATAATGATGGAGGTTGAACACTCCAGCAGAAGCACACTCAGCCTTCACTGTACCTGGATAATGTGGTGGGGGAGCGCAGAGCAGCACGGCCCCCTGCCCCTCTTTGACGTACACCGACTCCCTCTCCTCCGACGAGAACAGATCCAGGTCTGAGGAACGCAGAGACAAAAATCAACTCTGAGGAAGTTTCTGATTCAAGAGCTACTCAGAACCTATAGCCATACTGTACATGCATGTGTAGTGGTGTAAAGTAACTAAGTACATTTACTCAAGTACTGTACTTCAGTACAATTTTGAGGGACTTGTACTTTACTTGAGTATTTCCCATTTATGCTACTTTGTACTTCTACCCCACTACAATTCAGAGATACATATTTTACTCCACTAAATGTATTTAATACCTTTAGTGACTTTCCACATTTGGATTAATAATGTGAAATATAAAAACACTTTAATAAGACTTTAGTTACACCTAGAGTACGTTTCACATGCTACCCTGCAGCATATAAAACTAGCTGCACCTTTACCAGCTGGGATGAGACATAAATGCATCAATATTTATAATTAAAACATATCATATATTATTCTGTAAAGGGCCAATTTGCATAATGAGTATCTTTACTTTTGGTACTTTAACTATATTTTGATGCTAATACTTTTTTAGTTTTACTTGAGTAACATTTTGAATGCAGGACAATTACTTGTAACAGAGTATATCTGGACTTTGATACTTCTACTTTTACTTATGTACAAGATCTGAGTACTTCTCTCACCTCTGTTCATATACCCTTTACAGTAATATCTATAAAACTGACACTAAAGGTTTGAAGGTAACATAAAGTTCAACAACAGCTTATGAATTGAGCTGTAGTTGACGGTAAAATAAAGTACATTAGTCACGCTGGAATCATGAAGTAAGACCAATCACAAATGGCTCTTTCTACACCACTTATCATTTGTCCCAGCTGCCCTTGCAATTTCAGCGCCCTTAATATGCATGAAAGTACAGCTCCAGGGCAGCTCTGTTCAATCTGCATGGTGCTGTACATCATTGCAGTATGGGAGTTAGGATCTGGGCTACTTACATCCGAACTGGACCGAGGCTTTTCGGCTGATGATCGTGCCGTGCAGGTTGCTAGCCAAACACAAGTACTCTCCTACATGTTCGGTTTTTATGGGATTGCTGATGACTAGGTTGCCTCCTACTAATCTGTAGTGACTGCTTTGTGCTTTCATGTCAATTTCCCTGCCTTCCAGTATCCACCTGCAAGGAGAACAATTAGTGTCACTATAGCAAAGCATTGTAAAAGCTGTGTAAAGGAGTATATTCAAGTGTCAAGTTACAAGGCTTTATTGTCATTTGCACATACAGTGTAGATATGGCAACTGCTCCTCCAACAGTGCAACATATATATAGGACATAGAACAAATAAAACATATCAAATAGTGTAAGAGAATGTTTTGAGATGTGCAAGTAAATATAGAAATGGAAATAGTGCAAGAAGAGTCTATATACAAGTAAATGGAATGATATAATAGATAAATAATTAGCAAAATGCAAACAGATGAATGTTTGGATGAATGGATTTTCTTAAAAAAGTTCAGGTGTTTCATATCATTCTATATGGTGGTACATTATTACTATGTGGCCCCTTATGGTGTGGCAATATCTGACAGTCTGCATTATAGTAGCCCTTTCTTGCAATACACATGTGCATATTGTATTTTACAAATATCAAATAGTTCTGAAAAGCACAACTAACTGTACTGTAGATGAACCCTCTTAATACCAGCTGTGGTCAAAGCTTATTCCTTCCCCTCTGACATCTAATTCTGGGCTCTCTGACAGTGAAACCGATTTGGAGGATGCCAAGTAATATCATTTACATACATTTACATCTAAATTGAAATAGATCATGCGAAACAATTTAAATTTCGAGCTGCAGGAACAACATCACATTTGTTATTCATTTTTTCCCGGTGCGTGATATCTCTTGTTATATTACATTTTTGTTAGTATGAGGAAGAAAAAACATCTGCTGCAGACAAATTGAGTTGAGCACATTGTTTGACAGCAACACTATTATGTGGGGAAATCTGTCACAAACACTGCGGGATGCACACACACACATGATGAACCTCGGTGGTGCATAGAGGTTAACATCAACATCGTAGTGACCTTGCCATTTAAAAGGCAGATCATAAAACAGTCTGAATTCAGCCTGAGAGATGGCAAGCGATGGGAGGCACACAGAAAGCACAGCGGGCAGTAATGAGACCGGTATTTTGGGGAACATATGTTACTTGTATGTGGCAGGTGGGTTGGCCCGGGCCCGGCAGCTCATGGTGATTTTTGCCTCGGGCGACTCCTCCGGGTAGATGGTTTCCACCGGCTGCTCCTCAAACACTGGCCCGTAACCTGTGGCTTCATCTGGTGACGACAAACAAACAAAACCAGGGTAAAACAACAAGCGGAGTTTACAAACGGGAAATATCAAAGTGTTAGAACTCAGTGTCTGTCTGGCAGTTCTGGGACAGCTCCATCAAACACAAGACAGCAGGGTTCAAATGTAAGAGGAAAAACACACATCAACTAGACTGTGAGATTGCCCCTGTGAGGACCTGCCTTTTGATATTTTAACCTGGTTGTGGTTTTCACACACTTCTATTGCTCAGTGGCTGGTTTCAAAGGAATCCTGGTTGTAGCTAATCCTATCTGTGATTTGTGCTGCTGAGTTTCATTCAAAATCACAACACCACACTAATTATGACAGTGATGTGCTCACTCAGGTGCCAAACCAGAGTGACACATTCATCTCTTGCCAATGGAAATGATATTGTTACAAGCCAATACAATTTTTGGAACTGGAAATGCTATCTTGACTTAGCATAATCCAAACGCCTTTCATACTGTGTGCGTCATCCTCAGTGCTGTGAAGCAGATGCACAGGCGAATCCTGGGAGAAAAGTCTCCTTGAGGAAAATGCCTTTCTTGGTTCAATCTGCCTTTCACACCATCAACACACACGTACAATTAGCCCCAATTACTCATTAGAACAGACAGACATCGGGAGCAGAGGCATGAATAAGACATAAACACAATGCCAGGCTATGAATAAGCAATGAGGTGAAATGTTCCCAAACACTGATTATTCTCTCAGATCAAGAGTGTGTGTAGGTGACTGCAGCATTACAAATGTGAGGCGTGTATGGACGTGTGTGTGTGTGTGTGTGCACGTGTGTGTTGTTATTCCCCTGCGTCTCTGAGTTCTGAGAGAGCGCAGCTGACACCTCAATGGGGAGAAGCTCGCTCTTTCAGACAGTAATATCCTGCTTCTATTCCAGCCTTCTTTCCAGGCCTGAATTGGTGCTTTCACTACCTTTGGAAATGTCATATTGACTGACAGGGAGCAACCTTTAGAAACTCGAACAAAAGATGCATTTTCACTTCTATTTACTCCCACAAAAAACAGGAAACTATGTGTGTAGAAAAATAAAGCAATAATGGTGAAAGTAGAAAAATGCATGAGTGCATATTTATCAGTCTCAGCTGTAGGGAAGCAAAAGGAATTAAAATCGTATAATCCTAACCAGAACGAAGACAGACTCGTAACCACACAAGTTAGCTGCACCCTCATCGCACCAGGACGGCCAACCAGGAGGGAGCAATTAAGATGTTAGGAGACAGGATGCACTCCCACTCACACACTCCAGCAGCCAACCGTGTGTGTGAGTGCCTGACGCAAATCCCAATGATTCTGAATAACTGCTGGCTGAGAGAGAATTAAACATACTATTAATGGGGCATTGTGGGGCCGATGGAACGCAACTTAACTGGGAAACTGTGTTCTTGGAACAAGAGAGGAAGAAAAAGGAATTGAAGGAAAAAAAATGGAATGGAATTGGAAGAATCAAGGATGGGTACAGTTAAGGGAATATAGTGACCCTGTTCCACTGTTGCACTTAAATTGCTCTGCGCGAGTGTCAGATAAATGCTTTACATGTAAATATGAAATATAAATGTGGACTGGGCTGGACGGGGGGAGCCAATGAGGCGCTGGTGCAGTGCTGGAATAGCAGTAGGAGTAAAACGCAGAGGAATGAGCGCTGGTGCCGATCCTCTCCCTGTAATGCTGGTGGTGACAGATGGTGAAGGGGAGGGTTGAAGCAGGCCACATAAGGCCCACTGCCTGGAGACACACACAGGCCTCTCACTTCTCTCTGCCTCAATTCACTTTCATATCTAACTCTCTCTGGCTTCCCTGTGTCCTCACTTCATCTCTCTAAACTACAGTATATCCCACCGTCAGCCTCTGCTCCTCACGATTTCCCTTTTCTGGATTTCCTTCTATAAATACTTCCATTTTAAAAGTCTCTTCACTCTCTAGTTAGCAATGCTACTTGCTAGCAACATGGCTCCAGGGATGGGAAAGTTAGTCGGTCAGACCGCCACTTCAGGCAAGACTGAAATATTTAAACATTATTGGATGGATTGCAATGATTCTGATTATACATTCCTGTATGAGGTTGGCCTTTGAAATAACAACTCCCACGAGTTACATTCACTTTCTGTATAGACATGCAGATGCCTAAGGGATGAACACTTATTACTTTGTTTTCACATGTCTGTTTTTTTAAGTGAAAGTTAAATAGTTTTTCCAGAAATGACTACAGACATTTATATCCCCCTTAGGATGAATGGTAAGTGGTAAATGGACTTATATAGCACCTTTTTAGTCTTACGACCACTTTAAGCACTTAAACACTACATGTTAACATTTACTCATGAACACACACATGCATACACTAATGGCCAAACTTCATCAGGATCACTCACAAACACTGATGTCTGTGACTAAAGGAGCAATATGGGTTTCCGAGGAAACTTCGACAAGCGGACTGCAGAAACCAACTAATTTTCAACTGTTGGATGATCCGCTCTACCTCCTGAGCCATGGCTTCCCGTCTAATTGCAGTAACTTTGGTGAACATTTTGTGTAGTACCTACCATTATAAGGTTCATTTGGACCAACACTGGATTATGACCAAATATCATTGATAAAAGATATCCTGATGTATCTACCAGCAAAACTATAAAATTCACATTAGCCGTGAGAATACTTTGTGTGAGAAGCAAACTCAGTCATGCTAACATGAAAAAGACCCATACACCATTATACCTGCTAAAGGTGTATCGGCATATAAGCATTGTGAGCTCAAAGCACCACTGTGCAGAAGTAGAGTTTCAAAGAGACTGGAATGGCTGTAGATTCTTGTTTTTCTCAAATGATCAGTATTTATCCATCTCTCAAAGCCTCCCACTCTCAGCGCCTAGTGAATTCTCCCTCTATGTTTTGTCCAAAACAGAGAATCTCTTTCCAAACCTCCAAAGCTATATGCCTATTTCAATCCCTCTTTTTTTCTCTCTTTGTATCCAAGTGTCTCTTGGGTTCTCGGTTTCCCCTGCATAAAATACTTTCACTGTCTCTTCTTTGAAAATAAGCAGACTTTGGATGCCCTGAATCGCCCTGTTTAACAAGCGAGTAATTATTTACGCTCAGCCGCGCACATAAAAAACAAACACATACTTACAGATAAAAACCGAACTTACTCTCACGGAAGACCACATCCATACAAATAGGGAAGACATTTAAAAACCCACAAAGAAGAAAGTCAGAGTCTGGGAGTCATTTTCCTCTGAATGGATCTCATTATAAAACACAGAAGAGCTTGTATGTTTAGACTCGTTTGCATTTTAAATACTGTAAAGTCCGTTCATTTATCTTCCTTAGCATCAGTTTTTTAAATCAATATTTTTATATTGTGCCGTTTGTGTTTTCTAAATTGGAGATGTGTATATTTATTTTGGATTATATTTATGTTTGTTTATTTTCTACTTTATTTGACTTTCAAATGACGTGCAATGCCTTGTTTGCAGTACATGCTGCTGTGACGCAAGAATGTCCCAAATTGGGACCAATCAAGTAAATCGAATCTAATATAATTCTAATGACAAATCAATCTTCCTTTAAGCTTAAGGGATAACCTAAAGTAGGTGCATGAAAATTAATTTTAACTTTAATATACAGGTGATCCTAAAACAACTGCACTGTGTCCTATTTGTTACTTTATTTCATCTTTGTCAACACATTCTGCTGTTTCATATGTTGCACTTCCCTTATTGAAACATGTCTTTTTTATTGAGAATTGTTTGAATAATCACATAATTAAGCCAAATCTCAGAGGAACTTCTCCCTCTGATGAATTTAACTTGACTTACAGCTGTGTGTTTCTCTTACATCTGCTGCATGGTTTGTTTGCATGACCAATGGTGTCCAAGTGGGACAGATAACATATTGTTTCCTGGAGGCAACCAAAGCATGGTGTAGCAATAATTACCCACAAGCCCTTGAGTCACATAATGAGGCGTGGTGGCTGACTAATTTCTCCCTAGGGTAGAAATCCACTTTTTAAATTTTATATGTTGAATAAATAATTACTCTGCTTCACTGCCAGCCCAAATCGTATTTCCATGCCATCCTGCAGTGAGTGTCAGTGAGTGAGCGCTCGGTGTGGAGCCAGCTGTGCAATCACAACCACTGTCAAACTAATTATTCTCCAACACGATGGAGCAGAGCTATTTAAACAGGACATTTGAGAGGGTGACTTTGAATACAGATGTTTTCCAAAGTCACAACAATAATGAATGTGAAAAACCTTCTAATACCGTAACTGATGTTTTAAAATGGTATCACTATACAGTGTTTAACTTCACAGACCACCCCTCATGCAGAATAATCCACATCTTGGCTGTCCATCAGATGTTCAGCTTATTTACTCTTTATATTTTCAATTGAGCTGCAGCTAGCAATTATTTATATTATCGATAAATCTATTGACCAATTTGCTTCGTTCTTTTCAATGAAGTTTTGAAAAATGCCTGTTAAACTTCAAATGTCTTGTTTTGTCAGACCAAGAGTCCAGAACCCAAATATATACAGTTTAATATCATGTACATCAATAAGGTAAATCCTCACATTTAAAAAAAAAAACAACCAGCACTGTTAAACTTTCCAAAAAGACATATTTTTGGAAAGTTGATTGCCTGTTGTAAACTGGAATACACTACAGGGCAGGAAGTCAAACCAAAACACCCACATGCTAAACAATGTCATGCTTCAAAATTGAGATGAGTGGTGTACTCATGAGTGAGGAATCTGAGTGAAAAGAATTGACCATATGGCGGGGGGGAAAAAAACTGAAGGGATTCTCTTTTGACATTTGACACATTTGTGGAAACTAGAAAACTTTGTCCAGCCATCTTTTAAGCCTGCAGGGCATGTTTGCCACAGAATGATCAGATGGGCATTAACATAGCTACGGGCTGAATGATAAGCAGTTCACTTGTAAGAAACTATGGAGTCTGCAGTGTGTCCCAGCTGGAGGTCCGCCTCCACAATGCTCTGACCTTCGAGGAGTGTGGAGTCGACTCTGCCTCCTCGTATGGCTACACCTTCATCTTTGTCCAAGATTGACAAAGCGTTCAAAAATGATAAAGCCTGAGCAGCATTTTTCTCACATTTATTAGTGGCGAGTGACCTTAAAAAGTGTATCCAACTGACGTGTGCAGCATCAAAAGCATTTTGCACAGTTTGCATCACGCTGTGTTATTTCTACAGACAAGTGGAGGTAATGTCAACGTGTGCAGGAGGTGACACTCCTACAGGCACACAGATTTTAAAAGTCATGTACGGTCGATCTCTCGAGAAGAGAGAGTGAATGCAAGAAAAAAACGAATGACAGACTACCAAGAATGAGTCATTTTGTTAGTGATTGCATCAACAATTCAACCTGCACGCAGCATCACAACAGTTTCCCAAAAAACTAATCAGCAAGCGTTCCTATTTTCCAATGTACCCCTAGCCAACAATAACACACATGGTAAAGAACAAATCGTATGAAGATTCTGACATTTAAACATTTCTCAATATATTATTTTAACAATAAAGATCAACACAGTTGTTTTGGGAAATGGAGAGATTTATATCTTCATATTTTTGAAAGCACCTTTGAAAATAACACTTGGGCCTCGAGGATTAGATGCTAATTCAGCTCCTTCTAACCAACTTAAAGACATTTTGGGGGAAACGTAATTTAGTTTCTCGCAGGGTGTTAGATGAAAAGATTGATATGGACTATTTCTGGACCTTTTCTTGGCTGGGCACAGCGACTTCCTGCAGTCTCTGCTGGTTGCCCAGCAACCTCGCAGGAAATGTGCGAGTGCTGCATATCCCACTGTAAAACCTCAACTTGTCGTTTACACACTTTGGTTTCTAAACAGATAAAACAAACATGATAGAACATGGTACTTATTGCTCTCTAGTGTAGATGCTTGTTTTGCTGATGTTGTTACATTTAGAACAGGCTAGTTATTATCCTGCTCACCGGTCTTAATGCTAAGCTAATGGGTTAAAACAACTGTGAACATTCATAAACACACCTCCGCCCCTCAAAGACTGCAACCACTACTATTTAGAAATATTTATGGCTATTTTATTTGCATCCTTTGGTTACTATAACCCTTTATGAACACACAAAAATACATTTATACAGTTTTGTACATTTAACGTTTTTAGACTGTAAGTGTAAATATGCACATTGACATTGCATTGTATCTCGTTGCACTGTCATCGCTACTACCTCTGCTTTTACCACTCTTATTTATTTATTTATTTGTGTCTATTTTTTACTGCAGTGAGAGTTGCCAAATACATTTTGTTGTGCTTTGTTTGATGACAATACAGATATATTCTATTCTATTCTTGCTGGCTGTAGCTGCTGCATATTTAGCATACATTACATTAATAGAAGCATACATGGAAATTGAAATACTGTAAGTATTGGCAAGAGAACAAAAAAGTGTCTTACTTTTTTCCCCTAATACCTTAACATCTAAAAAAATGTGGATTTGGTTTTTAAATATCTAAAGTGATACATTATGTTTAGAACAAATAATGATATAAATATAAAAATGATATGCATTGTACATAAATATAAAACAATGCATATCTACAGCATGATTGGGTGCTTGAATGACTCACACCGCTATCTATTATCCATTTTCTGTGTCATCCATCATACCAATATGAGCCCACAATGAGGCATGGCAGCTCTAACACAGTTTCCAGCTGTAATGATCATCCTGGATTCGTCTGCCCAGTGCTGTGCAATGTCATGAACTTTAACCATCTCCATTAGGATTAATGTTCATCTGTAAGTAGGAGAAATCCAGGAATAGCAGCATTTCGAGGAACCGTGACCTCTAGAGAGAATTTCATTAGTCCTGGTCTATTGTGGACCCTCAGAAAGGGAGCCATCTGTCACTTCCTGTCACCTAACGCATGCAGACAGGCAGATTGTAGTTTTACTGCCTCAGGGGCCGCAGCGGGCAGGAGACGGGCAAAGCTGCACCCAAAGCCCTTTCGGATCTGACATACTTCTTTTATTTCTTTTTCATTGAATAGTAAATGAGAGTAAAACACGACAAAAGCTTGAATAGTGAGTTTAATTAAAGAAGAGGTGAATATTCTGATGACGCAATATTCTCGCTTATTATTGCTTAATACTGTAGCATTAGTGCTTCTCTAGTTTTCGAATGGAACTGGCAGGGTTGTTATGAACAAAACCAGACTTCACATGTGGTTTGGATAGAACATTTGAACATAAACAGGATATTGTGCAACACGCAAGCAGCTACTTTTGGACAGTGAATCGTATTTGTCCTTTTATACAAATCAAAACCCCTCTGTTGGCATCCACGATCTTACTTCTAAATAAATGTCAATGCTGAGTGTTTCTTGCTAAAATGTCATTCAAAACACCTTACCAGTCACATCTCTTGTTGTTTGGAGAGTACTGTATAATGCATTAAGCAATCACAAGTCGCAGGGCTTTCAAACATATCGCTGTGCAGACTCCATGAATCAAAGCCTGATTCCTGTTCTGAAGACCAAGGCCACACGTCACCAGCCTGACAGTCAACAGATGCAGCATGTTTGTATCTGATTTGAAGACTATAAATCAAAAAGGAGTAAGCCATTTTTGTATACGTTTCAGGTATTTAATCGTAAGTTCTAATTATAATCAGCTCGCTATCCTTAAGGGGACTTTATCAGAACACATAGACGTTCATAAAAACACAACCCTGTGACCTTTCTGGTTTAAAACATCTCTGTAACCTTGTGCTCAGCCTTGAACTTAAAACATTATCACCACTGAAATTAAATTGTATCATTTTTGTAGCATACATGAAAACTTTGGATGCACATTAGTGAATTTTATTTAAAGGTCCCATGTCATGCTTTTCTGGTTATTACCCGTCCCCTTGTGTGTTATGTAGCTTTTTATGCATGTAAACGGTCTGCAGAGTCACAAACCCTCAAAGTACACCCTGTAGCGAGTACAACTCTAACACAGAAAAGACATGTCTATGCTGCCCCAGAACGCCTCGTTGGAGATTTCTCTTTTTCCATTGTTTACTTCTTGGGTATAGTGACGTATTTCGGGTATAGTGACGTAACGTTACGTCCGCGGAGCCGTTACGTTTGGACCAATCCGCTGACTTCCTCACACACACCCACTCGGCGGGACGTTGTGAGGCTCGCTGCTGCGAGGAGCGGGACACTGTGAGCTGGCTCACTGGTGTGGGGTCGGCGAGACAGCGAGACACCGCGGAACTCAGCCTGGGCACACACACAAACTCCCAGCCAGGCTGCGGGTGTGTGTGTGTTTCAGGCTGGGTTTCGCTGTGTCTCGCTGTCTCGCAGACGGCCACTGGGCTCACAGGGAGGGGGGGGGCAGGAGCTCCAACAAGCCGTTTAGGACAGAGAGTGAATACACATACTATACAGAGATGCTGTATGAGAAACCAATGTGAGTTAGTTTGGAAAATTACACAATATAAATGTATTTTAGTAGACCTCAACAATGGAATTATGATCAGTAGAAATGGCCATGACATGGGACCTTTAAAAAAAATGTATGAATGTAGGAAGAAATCTCAAAATTGCATTTCCATTAGAATTTCTCTCGTTGAATAGAGAATGTGGTTGAGTTCATCTGTGAGACTGTTTGTGCTGGCATGCAGAGTGAAATGGTAATAAATAACAAATGTTTGCGAAAGTGCGTGTATGTGTGTGTGTGTTAATGTGTCATAACGCAACACTGGCCAAAACCAAGAAGCATCTATTTTCATCATTATTGGAAACTCGATGAATGTTTTTTAACACTTCAGGAAGGTTTTTTTATAGCATTGAAACAAGTGACCATTATCATTGAGTATTAGAATTAGTCTTACCTCTATAAAAGTCAGGTAACTCCCCATGCGTTGATGCATCTGCAACAGTTAAAAGAAATCATGTCAACATATCAGACCATGACACTGCAAATACACCACTGCTGATGTTTCTACTTGAAGTACTTCCTGTAGGTATTTTTTCTTATTTCTCATGTGATACAACAAGAAAAAGTGATCAGATCATCATGAGACTTTCTTCAGAGAGGAAAGGCCCATAATAGAATTCCTTTTCGCTGCTGAGGGTGTGATGAATGTCCGAAAACCCTGCGTTGATAGATTATCTTTGGCTGAGGGCCACCTCTGTAGAATCCACCACATCCTGCCCTTCACAATAAAATGGGAAACTCAAGGGTTTGGCTTGAATGATTGTGGGTTTAAATACGCACTGATGCTACAAACAAAAGGTCAACCATGTACAATAAGAAAAGGGATAATAGATCATACTAACTTGAACAATATCCCTGTTCAATAATGTATTCTTATTCTGTATGTCCTAGTTTAAACCCCACAATGGTCCAGCTGAGCTAGAGAAAATACATACTCTTTACACTTTAGTTTAAGGATAGTGTGTGCTAGACTTTAGTTTTGCTGTCATAGCATGTCACATTAACCATCAAACCTTATTCTTGTTGGGGCTAAACAGAAATGTCAGGCCAATGTGCTCTCCCCAGGTTAACAACCAGCGTCTGTTGGTTGGCTGCTGTCTGTTTACTGTGTATGTGTGCCAAGGAACAATGTGGTGTTTTTATGTGTTTTCTTACGAATTCATTAAATACTTTTTGCACATTTTCAACAGGGTATTCTAAGCTTTAGTTGTAGTTCTGCCAAAAGCTTTGATGGGCTCCCCATGTAGGGAAAACAAGCCAAATAAATCTCCTCAAAGTCTGTTTGAGAAAGATGTGGTGGGAACCTGAAGAATTCCCAATCCAAGCTTCCCCTTCTTTCAGTTCATGTGAAATCAAATCTGAAACAAGTGAGTATAGCCCAAGGTATGAGAACACAGAGGGGGTTGTAGCTCATTTTCAGGCCCGCTGTTTTCTGACAACGTTGTTTTGTTTCCAACACGGCTGATTGCACAGCAGCATCACAAAGAAAGGAAATCTGCAAACAGACCCTGAGAGGCACACATCGTACAGCCTGACCCATCAGATGTTCATACTGTAGCTTCTTCCTAAAATGTGTGCTTCTTTGTATAGTTGGCCTAAGCATGTGTATCATATCTTAAGCGTATCTCGATCTGAATAAAATGTTCTTCACTGCCATCCCTGCCAGTCTCAATATATTTTGTTGTTTAAAGCTGGCGGTTAGCACCTTTTCTTTTGATGCATCTTCCATCCTGAGAGTCCACTTTTGATAACTTGCCTATCCACCTGGTTGATTTTGTTAATGCTTGGTAGTTGGAGCCAATAGTCAAAGTTATGGTCTGTTTCTGTAGTTGCTATATGAGTTCATGAGACTCATTGCATTAATAGTTTGTTAGGAGCAAATCCATTTTTAACAAATGGATTTGATAGTGATACCTGAAAGATGAAGGACACGTGAGAATAAGAATCAAGCGAAACTAGTGTTTTTTGATGGCTGCTTTCCAGAAATGTTTGAAAGGGAAAGCAGATTGCTCATACTGCTGAACAAATAACAACATACAATTGGTTATCGGACCTCTTTTCTTACATGTAACAGTTATTGTGGCTCTAAGCTGAGAAATGAAATGGCTCACAGGGTCATACAAACATTCATTAGCTATACAGGGCTGAGTGTAAATATATGTGTTGCTTTCATGGAAAGGCAGTGACTCAGTCTCTCAGTTAATACATTATAAATAAATGTAGCTATTCCCTTTCAGCTGAACGTGTTACTGACCTGCAAAGCAGAGAGGGAGGACCAGGAGATGGAGGAGCAGGGTGAGGTGCAGCATGATGTTGAAGCGAGGACCACCTGGTGGGGTAACAGCTAGAAGCTCAGCTGATGGAACATTAGCAGGACCGCCTGGTTTTCCTTAAGGAGAGGAAGAAATAGAAAGAAGAGAGACGTCAACACATAGAAAAAAACCTTCACAGAAGAACATATTTCTGTGAGTCTGAATGAATGTGAATTTGAATAAATATAAATAGTCGATTTCTTTATATGTAAATATATGACAACATTCTGCAAACAGAGTCTCTTTAACCTTTTGCAATGTAGTGATTATAAACGTGGGTTTAAGACACAATACAAAAGAGCATACTTGTGCTAAATAGAAAGCAGGATTTGGTTATTGGACCTCTTTACTTACAGTACAATAAAGAACTTAAAAATAAAGTAAAAAGTCAGGAATCTGCATGAATGAGCCAGAAACACCAAAAAACATTTAAAAGTCTTTGTATAGCTGCAACTAACTATTATTTTTATTTGTAATGAATCTGTTGAATAAATGAAATCAATAACAGAGTCTATATGTCTAAATTAAAATGATCCCAGAGCTAGTTTCCAATGCCTTAAACTAATCATCTCAAAAATGGTGCTGTTTAATGTCGGCCTTCCTGACATCCGAATCATAGCGAAGGCCAACCAATCCCTGCCTCCCTGTGGATCACTGGCAGACGGTGCCGACGAGTCTTTACTCCGTCTCTGCTTCCTGTCAGCCTCCCAGGCACAAGCTCCTTGATAGGTTGACGCCTGATGATTGACATCTCAATAGTCGCGCCAGAAAAATCCCTGAGCTCTGGTTCAGCAGAGCTGGCACCTCACTGCTTACCCACCGCCCCCCAGACGTTAACACCACACCAGTAAGCACCAGCATGAACCAGCTCTCAGCATCTCGCCCAGTAACACAACATGAAGAGCAACAGCTGTGTGAGTCAGGATAACTGGCGGAGACGAGAGGAAGGAGGATTTCTCCATGGTGGAGGGGAAAATGGGATTTGAAACTAATGCAGTGACTTCATAATATTGGTATTTAAAATCAGATGAGATGAATCATGTGTTTCGAATAGTATATTTGATCAAAAATAGCACAGAGATCCATCATGGAGGCAAAGATGCTAAGACTGAAGAAAAAAAAAAGTCAGCTATTGTGACAGCACTTGGTATTAAGTGGTATCCAACTAACCACATTACTTATTTTAACTGAATTAAACAGAAGAATAGGCGACCATCAGGTCATAGAGAGAAACTTCAGGGAAAATATATTAGTAAACTTATGAAGCAGCTTGCAGACAACACAGTGTGTAAATGTGGAGCATCGTTATCAAGTCTTTTGATATTTAAATGTCTTAAAGAGAAGTAATGCAGGAAAAAAAATTCACACCATGATTTTTCCTAGTGTCAATCAAATCTGCTTTGAATGCCTTTTCTGTGCTTGAAAACCTGTGCAGTCTTTCAGGGAAGACTGCCAAAACTCACAACCAAATATAACACCTTTATATATTCATTTACTGGCATCACAGTTTTGAGCATCGGTTCAATATTGCCCATTCATTCCCGGGTCGTGCTGGACTGGTGTGTGTTGATTAGAGTGTAATTGAACATGAGGCAGACACTCTTAATTCTCTGTGCGCAGACTGAGGTGTCAGCTGGCCGAAACTCAGAGGTGTGACAGCAGAATTGAGATCTCAGCGCTCACCAAAGAAAAAAATGGAGTCTTATTACAGCAACATGGATTATGAGATAGAAGAGAGGCCATTTAATATGCAGGCTTTCCGAGATACAAACAAAACTGCCCTTGTACTGTAAGGCTGAACATCGACACACGGATACGCTTGGATACACACAGAAGAAAGGATTGAGACAAATGGGCCAACACACTGTACAACTAATGTCCAAACTGTACAGCTGCAGAAAAGCAAAACAGAGGAGATGTCCATCTTCACGCTGGCCTGTAACCTAGCAACACCTTTCAAAAGGAGCAGTTTAGTGTGCTGCGGGGGGGGGCTTTTGTGACCACCAATGAAACTATGCAAACACTAATTATAATCTGGAACAAGTCTGCCGTTGAGGAACAAAAACCCTTAAGGGTTCCCTGCTCGTCTGTGACATCTCCAGTCAAACAAAGCCCAACAAATATAAATTCAAGAAAACTTCCTCCATCTTTCTGTCAGTGTGCACTTTACTATGGTGCTACTATATCACTTCTGAAACTCATTAAACATAAATGATCTAATAGATGCACTTAAGAGATTGAAAAAAAAAGGCATGGCGTCTCATTATAGGGTCACAGTACATACTGAAAGAACCATTCCCATCCTTCCCATTAAGAACTGTCACTGAGTTGATATAGTGTAAAAACCATCAGACCAGCCCCGCACAGAAAGGCAGCATGCTCTTATAATCAGTATTAATGGGCCTCCTCCCTCCTGTCCTACCGGGCTGAATGCACGTGATGAGAGCGCGCCCGTCATCACAGTAAATCACACGACCCAGACAGAACAGCCCTCAAACAAGACCATTTCTTCTCACCCATAAATCACTCCCTGGACGCTGCCAGAGCTATTACTGCTTCTGCTTTGATGTTGGTGTGTTTTCTTGTCACGGTCTTTTTTCCCAGCACTCCATGCTTTGCTTTGCTCGTGGAATTTCAATGTCTCCCTTAAACTCCCCTTAGAAATGTCAGGCTCATTGCTAAGAAATTAGAAATCATAATACAAAGACTAGACGTTGCTGGGGGCCAATACTTTTCTGCTTCACTTCGACGGCCAATACTGTCATTTGTGCTTTTGTTGACCCCATACCGCCCTAAGGGCACCTCAGGCTCAAGTGAAAGTGAGTGAAACCCCTCCTTTTCTGTGCTTGCCCTGATGTGTGCTGCATAATCAAGTGGGTAACTTTAGAGAAACGTCTTCTCTGATCACAAGGGGCAGATCTGTGATGTGGGGGAGGAGAGACGGAGAGAGAGAGGAAAGAGGATAGGGTGGAGGAGAGGAGGGAGCGGTCAGAGTGGTAGACTTAAAAAACAAGACGTTTCTCCAACAACCCCACCCCCCCCACCGCCCTACCACCACCACCAATGTCACTCCTTACACACACAATCCCCTCCACCTACGTCACCACCATCAGTTATTAACCACAGATTTACAATAATCCGGCAAGGGGAAGCAAAGAGGGGGTTAACGCTGGATTGATCTTAATCGGTAGGAGAAGAAAAGAGTGCTGAGCAGCATCAGCTACTGCAGCATCCAAGGTATGTCTGCATTTCTAAAAGATCTCCAGTAGTGAAGCTGGGGATGGAGAAAGGGTTGGTAACCGAAATTCTGAGTAAGAACAAAGTATCGTGTAGCCCAAAAAAAGACCTGCATTTTGCTTGAGTGACGGGTGGGTTCTGTCTTCAGTCTCTAACTGGTTGCTATCTGCTCTGCTGCGTCACCCTGACATGACTCAGTTGCACCCACGATGCTCATTTTTAGAAAGAAGGTGACTGCCAAGATGGTGAAGGCTGAGTTACCCACCATTTCATTTCATTTTTATTTGTTCCGTTCATGGTATGCAAATCTTAATGTATAATAATTGTTAACAAAACATGTCTCTGTAAACACACCATTGACCGAAAAGGAGCAGGGAGAAGAAAATAATCTTATGTGACCTGCCCCTTTCTAAAATATATATATATATATAGAAATAGATGGTCTGTCCTTCATATTTCTTTTTCACAGCCAAACTTATTCACAGCCAAACACAACAGTATCTTAGGATAATAATAATAATAAGAGAAACACAAAAAATACTTATTTCCCACTTGACAGTTAACGGGAAGAAACAAAAACAACACCACCAAAACATCACATGTACAAGGAAAAGTGCAATGAGCTCCACAACGGCTCTTTAGACACCTATGGTTGACAAGATCTATATTTGATCAAATCTTTGTGAGGTAAACAAAGGCTGCTGGATATGGCTTCATAATTCAACTTATATTGATCTTTTCATCCAACTCTCAGGAAGATGTATTTATATTTTCACAGTGCCGTAGCTGGGCAGCATATTAGTGCTTATACCGAGCCACAAGATGTAGAATCCAATATTAATACGGTTTCTGATGAGTCCTCATTCTAAAATCACACATTTCGTGATAGAGTAGATACGATTTAGTGTCATCACCGAATGCTACTGGGAAAAACAAGCGAGACAGGGAGAGGAATATTGATCTGATTTAAATGAAGATGAAACATTGAGATATTGGGTGTGACATCATCTGTGAGAGGCAGGAGTGTGTTTGGTTTAAGGGGCATGACTGTTCTATCTCTTTGTAGCTTTATTTATCCTTAGCTTGCTGAGAACATTTCCTGATTCACATTCATTATAAGTATATACAAACATGTCATAAGTACATCAACTACTACTGCTATTTATCTAAAGCAGACAGGAAGTATGATAATTAGATGTTTCCATTAATAATTCAGATACACATATTTAAAACAAGTCTACCAGCCGAAAGAACATCTCTTTCTTACAAGCTGCCAAAATCTGTCTATTTTTAAAGAAAATATCTGCCAAAGTGCCACTAACTATCCTGTACTTTCTCTGCGTACGTCTAGAAAACATTCTGCTCTGTACAAAAAGCCAAAGTGTTCAAAAGTATTACTTTGAAATGTACTTTGACAAGATGTTCTCTTTAATGGAAAGCAAGGAATAGTAGGCACAAACCGCATCGCATGTGAAGAGAGCAGACACCTGATATGACTACATACTGTGAGTGAGTTGAAATCCCAGGATGAAACGCATGCTGTGATCCCTTCAGTTTTTATGTTGAATCAGTGATATTTTACCACAAAGCAGTGGTGATACATTTATGCTTACTTCTAATTTATTCATGACAAAATCATTGATTTTCATTCCAAAATGTGCAACACAGACATCCTGTGTGTCTCCTCAACCTGAGCTCTGAGATATGTTTCCTTCTGTGAGGAAAATCAGACTGGACTGGCTACGGACGAACCGGTTTTATCTCCCAGAAGACCGACAGAATGATTCAATCAACAGACATGGGCTATCCAAGCCTATTACACATCAAATAAAGCAGTAACCCCAAGACACACAAACACACACACACACACACACAAAACTATAGCTGCAGATAACGATGCTCTCTACATGCTTTGTGCTGCACAGGCCCCCTGTTGCTAAGCAGAAACTGGTTCAGCACTTAACAGAATAAATAACTGTATTTTTCAGATTGTAACAGCTTGATATATTCTGCAGTCAGAGTTCACTTTTTTTCTTTTTAGCAATCTAGGACAGCAAATAGCAGAGCCATCCAAAACATTTCTCATATTGGCTGAAACCCAATGCGTCTTATTCTTGAAAAATAAAAAGAGAAACCGTCCAATGATCTGTTATTATTCAGAGAGAGATGTTACGACCCCCTGGACTCTACTCTTTCAGTTGTTTTGTCGTCAGCATGAGCCACACCTGAGAGGCTTGGATAAAAAGCCAAACACCATCCCACACGAACGCTGACTCGCATACATACATTACTGATGACTTCATTTCACATTTGCTTAAGTCTGGTAAGTTATAAAGTATTGTTATCTTGTACATAAATCAGTTTTGTGTCATGTCTCCCATCCTTGTTGCAGCCAATGAGCCGGGCTGTAACATACTGTAGAAGGTAAAGAAAATGGTACAATCACATTAAACATGGACTAATTGTGAATCCCTGTAATGAGAGACCCCTGCGACAAATATTTTGTAGGATTGAAAATGTTTTGTTGTCTTTATTCATTTTCAGGCTGTTGTGCTCTATGCAATGTAATGCTTTGTTTGTCCCATTCCCTGCAAAAAGACCTCATCTCCCTGAGGACAGACAGTATCAGCAGCGCCCGTATGGAGTACAGTATCAGTCGTGATGTAATCCAGCTGCAGATGATCCAGTCATGGCTCGTTCACTGTGTCAGTTCGTCTCAGTCCCCTCCCTCCGTCTTTTCATTCTCTCTGTCTCTCACCCAATAGACGCAGCCGTGCTAATGTAAGCTATTTATCCCGACCCCTGCAGTCAACACAATGCCCCCTCAGGGCACACACAGGCTCAGAGACCTCAGCTGACCTGAATATCAATGACACCAGTCGCTCACTCCATGAAATCTGGAGCTGGACGGCTGTATGCATTACATTAACCCCAAATCAGGTCATGTCTGGGGAGGGGGAACAGCACACACGTGACTTGAATCAAAAAAAATATATCTTGCCTTTGATGTTACAGTGCAGATGTGTTTACTGTAAGGCAATGAGGAAGCTATTCGCTGCAATCACACAGCAGAGATATGCTCTTTGATTCATCTGACCCTTCATAAGCTAATGTATGTTGCCATTAAATGTTCACACAGAACCTAATACAAGTATTTCAAAGAGTGGATAATTCCAAATGATCCTTTACAATACCAAAGATGCTACTCCAAGGAATGCAGAGCAGGACACTTAGATGCTACTGAAAACGGTGTCACAACATACACTTGTTTTTTTAGTTTGTATTTATGTAAATGTAATTAATCGTAAAACATCAATGTGTTGACCTTTCAGTGCAACAGTAATAAACAATGTGATACATTCTATGGAAGGATCAAACTCAAAAGAAACTCCCCAGATAAGAAATACTAAATGGTCTCTGAAGTTTGTCACATCATGTTTGATAAATTGTGCCATATAGGCAAAGGTCAGAGGAGACTTCACTCCATTGAGAAAGAGTGCTCGGCTTAATTACTTAATGCGACATCTGTCCAATAAAGATATTGGCTTCTATAGTACAGCAGTGACATGCTTTCACTGGAGGCCGTACTCTCTGCTGTGAATAACTGTAATTACTAAGTGACAAGAGTTACACTTGATGTCAAAGCTGTACAGATAAGGAAGAAGGGTTCTTATAACGCCATTTGTTCATCCTGTATACTGAGAAAACAATCAATACCTTCCAGTTGCACAAAGAAAGGAATGCATTTACTCTGCATATAGCCACAACAAATGGCAAACAAAAGTTGTTGATCCTTCCAACCAACACTTCCCATGCATCTCCTTATTGGATTAGGGGGTATGAATCCAACATTAGGCTACAGTTTAACTTGACCAACTGAATGTTAAGTGTAATCAGAAAAGAAGCCACAAACAGCCTGCTTAATTGGTCAAGAGGAGGAGGAGGTTACCAATTAGTCAGAAACCACCACCGCTCAAAGCTATGAGAGACACAGTAAGACAATCAGGGCATGGAGAGTAGTGTGACTCAGAGGCTCAGTGCTTACCTTGCTGTGGAGAGCTATCATGCCAGTGGCTATGTGACAAGATGAGCTACTCAGCCCCTCCACCATGCCTACCCTGCCAAGTGTCCTAAATACTCCGCTCCATTGTCTCCCTCAGAAATGAGCAGTGCTGCTGCTGGATGGAAGCACGCTCTCCAAGGTGCAAAGAGGAGGGAGGGACGGTGGGAAAAGAAAAGGCTAATTCCCCGAGTAGGACAGGGAGCCATGCAAATGGGCCGCCTGGAAGAAGCCTCCCTGCAGCGCTCGTTGGAGGGGTCTTCTCCCGTCACCGTGGCCAGGCTGGGGGATTTAATCTTTTAAGCCCTCCCACCGTGTACACACACACACACACACACACAGCAGTGGCCACTCAATCATCAGGGTTCTCCACACAGCTTGTAATGAGTGTGTAAATGAGGTCAATTGTGGCTGGACTTTACACTGGGAAAACACACACACACACAACACACACACACACACACACACACACACACACACACACACACACACACACACACACACACACACACACACACACACACACACACACACACACACACACACACCACACACACACACACACACACACACACACACACATCAACACACACCACACACACACACACACACACACACACACACACACACACACACACACACACACACACACACACACACACACACACACACACACACACACCACACACACACACACACACACACACACACACACACACACACACACACACACACACACACACACACACACACACACACACACACACACAGAAAATACACCAGCATAAAAAAATATCCCTTTTCCACCAGCACCCCAACTCTAACCCCACCCTCCATTAGCCTGGCAGCGGGCCAAACGTATCATCAGCACTGTCATAAACATCAGCTGCTGTCGCACAGAAAGCCATATCTCCTCCTGGAACTGATGCCCATTTCTGAGGAGCTGAAAAAGGCACACAAATGCATGCCTTGCAAAAAAAGGGAGTGCAATTCTGTTGTCCAGCAACAAAGTGATGATAAGGCTGTTACTGTGACATGGATGCTAACTTGAAAGTTGATATCATTCTCCTAATCCAAAACACAATCTGAAGCTAATTTTCCTCCTTTTTATGTAATTCCCTGCTCCTATTCTGTCTGTTATTTCTTAATAAAGAAAGCCATGTAATAGCTCTTATATAAAGTTATACCCTCCATAAAGCAAATAAGACTAGGTCTACATTGACTTTATTTTGTTTATCAACATATAATCATTTTATAGACAACTACGGTAATTAAAATATAAAACAAAGGAGGTAGAGAAAAGCTATTCTTAACAAGACACTGAACCCCATACATCTCCAGTGGAGCTACTCATTGGCTGACAGCAACATGATGATGTAACCGTCCGCTGCACCCAGCTGTTCTGAAGTGAAGTGCTGTTGCTCCTGGTTGCTCCGTCCTAAGGACAGGAGGCAGCCACCCTTCTTGTGAACTGGAGTATGGCAGGGATTTGGTAAAGGGGCCTTAGAGCAGATTTAGGAGATGTACAGACTTGTACAGTATGGTCCACACAACCAGTTAGGTGGAGTTTGAACAAGTCTGTATAAACACATGCAGCAGCATTGTTAACCAAACTATTTGGTATTGTTCCTGTCCGAGCCAGTTTTGACAACATGATCAATTGTTCAAGCTAAAAAATAAATAGATAAAAGGCTTTGTGCTGGGACAACAGAACACATAGCAATGCATTGATTCACATGATTGGATTTCATGGAGTTTAATCATGCAGAGGTCCAGATAATCTATAGCCATCTATCTTACTAAACAATTTATGTCCAGCTGGCTCTCTACGGAAAGAAAATACATCTTAAATGATCTTGATTCACTCGTAAGGACTTAAGTTATGTCATGGAGGGATTTGGATTGACCCAGACAGGAATGAAGAAGCATTAAAGGCAGAAAAATAAGATCCTGTAGCATTATCTAAGGCTGTGAGTAACAGTAACTTTGTGGGTCATTCAACTTACATAAGTGATTACAGAAAATAAAAGGGATTATGGAGAGCAAGTGGTGAGAGCAGCGTGATTTAGTGCTGAAAGCATTGCATTTGTATACTAAAATGAACCCAATAAAATCTGTTACTTACAAATGTCTGCACTTAACCTTCAAGTCATCAAAGCTAATGGAGCCGGTTAAGAGAGCTGCAGCAGATGAAGCTTGAGACCAAAGCCAACCTAATGGCTTCCATTTAGATCGACCAGACAGACACTGAAAAGGAGAAGGATTGTGCAAAGAAGCAAAAAGTACGGCCCAATCCCAAACCACTCCCTCGACCCTACCCCTCCGTGACGGAGTGAACTCCGTTTGTAGCCACACTCGCAGCTCAACGAGGCTCCCTCCTGTCAGATGGAGGGAGTAAATACAGCGGCAAGCTTTGGGACGGCCTCCCCTCTCTCCGGCAGAAACAGGAAATGCCGTAACTGTATGTAACAACGGTTTCAAATCAGCATCTCTTAGACAAAAAATGTAAATTAATACTTTTTCTGTAAAGCTCTTTTAGTTTTAAACCTGATGTTTATAAGCGTCTTAGTTTTTGCAACAGTCTGTAAATATACACAACTTTATAATAAAATGCACTTTTTCTAGACTAAACACAGGTATGATCCTAAATTAAAAAAATATGAGGTTATCATGAGGTTGTTAACATCGCAGTTTATCAGTGGATGTTTGCTGGAACTACTTTTTAACAGCGTGTTTCCTGACGGACACACACAGCGTGACTCCGGTCAGGTAGAGACCGGTCTCAAGTCAGCACCGCTGCAGACTCGCTGTTTGAGGGCTTGATAGCCCACTCCCCCTCCACACCGCTCCACACTCGTTGGTTTGGAACAGCACTTAATGTGGCGGACCCTCCGCGCGAACGCGCAAACGGAGGGGTAGTGTGTCGGGGTAGGGTGTAGGGGGCGGTTTGGGATTGGGCCTACAACTCTTTTCTTTTGGATAGCACTCCACTGCTATTCATTAACCATGAGCTGCCTGGCTAATCAAAACAGTGCACATGAGTCAGAAGCATGTGGAGCAGAGTGCAGTGTCTGAGCAGAAGGCTTCAGTGCTCCAGCTTTGTTCTTTCAATAAAATGTTCCCAAGACTTCTGACTCGGCACAATCCAACCGCTGACAGGAATAAAAGAGGATCATTTCCTGCCTTGTGTCTTTGTTACAGAGAAGCAGTACACAGAGAGTGGATACATAGAGTTTGTGCTTGTGTCCCAATACCACTCCTACCACAACAGACAAAAATAGCGAGATAATTGTTGGTGTTTGTTACAGTTGGGAATATATGATCTGGGGCATCAGATGGGCAGGGATTTCTTCATTTTTGGAAAGTCTGCAACTGAGAGCTTATTGGATATCAACTGCAATTTAGATTGGGGAAGTATTTCTGTATTTTGAGACTCATTCAACTTGATGCTACTTTTTATACTAGGACGCCATGAGATGTCGTGGCCAATTTGAGATGGGACAAAGTTACAGTAACTTAACACAGAAAGACAGAAGGCAGTCATTTAAGGAATATAGACTAAATATTATACCTGATTACAGTCTCGTAAAAAACACAGATGTGACAAACTCTCTAGTTTTGCTTATTATAATGTATAAAATAAAATAATGCCATACCCCATTCCACCTTATTCCCTATATCTATACGCAATGGTGGATGAAATGAATGATACAAGACAACAGCACATTGTTTTAAAGTGCACAGAAAGCATAAACGATAACATTTCAATATCACGCTTGATGCGCATGAGTTTTCCATTGCCAACTTGGCTTTCTATTCATCAGATTAAACTGTCTGTAATTTGAGATCATAAGCAGTGAAATTAAAAATCATTCACCTTTTACCAATTATCCATTAGGAGATTCGATCAGCAAATGAAGATCAGTAGCTGATAAAGCATCTTACTGTGAAGAAAGTAAATCACTATAATTACTGAAACTATAATATGTAAGGTTATTTGAATTATATTTGCAGGGCACGTGAGCATCATCTGTGGTTTGTCTTTTAGTCGTCACAAAGCTGCCATGCCCTGGTTTCTGCGCCCTCTGATCACATTTGATGTGGTATTACATGTCAGCAGTATAATGACACTGAATGCATGAAAGGAAGAACATACATATATATTCAATGACACTCTTCATAGCTCTTATGAGCTTTTCTTTGACTCAAACTGAATTTCTATAGAGAATTGAGGTTTCTTTTTATGTCAATACATTGGCCTTCATTGTAAGTTTTACCCTCAAACATGCAGTTGTTGAACATATTTGACTTTTATTCTCACAAAAACCCTCGTGTTTCTTTAGGTTCATGTAGATGTTTGGGTGTCAGAGTATGTAGCTCAATATGTAGTGAACTGTCACCACAAGTTAAGAGCAGGTCAGTGAATTAGGCCTTGTTCACGCGCCACACTCGAATAAATTAACTTCCATACGGCTAATAGGGCTTTACTGCTGCTGTTCTGTTTATGGTTGATTGATAATAGGACTCGCACGAATACAGTCTTTTACAGGCTTGAGTTTAAGCCAAAGCAAATTGGCGCTGATTGCCCAGATCTGATCCTTACTTTGTCTAAGCCTTTTATTGTTGCTCAATGAGTTAGTCCTAGAGAATAGAAGCAGACAAGCTGGCCAACCTGTGACTTAGGAGAAGAGCCTCAATTTGGTCCAACCTGTCCAAAGAGCTTTTGTGTGCATGTTAATATGAGTAGCGCTGAGAGGTTTGGGTGAATGAAGCTACCTAGAAAGGCATTCAGCTCTCATGGCAAAGCTTTTTTTACAAGTCAGCTGGGGAATGAGGTCAGGAGTGGAGCACAATTGGATCACTTTGATTACTTGATAGGGGAGAGAAAACAAAAACAATATATTTAAAAGGTGTGTTTTTTGGCATTTCTATCATTCAAAAAACCCAGAAGTGTTCACATTTTTGCACAAAATTCAATTTTCATGTTAAAACCCATTACCTATAGTAAGAAGGTATAAAGAAAATGGGTTTCTATGGCCTTTAATTAGCAGCCACATTTGGCAAATTCAAGCCAAAGTCTTTTCACCTTGGGTTAATATGCAGTTTGCTCATGTGGCTGAAAAGGATCCATCTATAACCATAACCTACTGATAATAATACCTTATGCACATGCAGGGTTGGCTTTTATAGTATGTTTAGAGGCACCG